AACTTGTTAGTGTATACCCACATGAGGGGCAGAGTCTCTGCATCAGCAGTGAATGGAGTTACTTTGGTGTTCTCGAAGCAACCTTTCTTCCAACAGTCGTCCATCTCCTTTTTCATGGCGTTCCAGTACAAATCGGCCTGGGGATGAGAAACGACGTCTTTGAACCGCTTAGGTGGTTCAGGCATCTGATCTCGATGAAGCCTAGTCTTTGGAGTAATGGCTGTAATCTTCTCATAGAGTGTTGGGTGAAGGGAAGTTGCAAAGGTTCCATAGTAGGTAAAGAAGTTTGATGAAACTCTGTCTTGTCCCTTCTTAGCGCGGCTGCGTCTGCTTCCAGTAATTACATTGTGATTGTAAGCACAGTCCGCAACAATCAATTAAGTGGGTCCTAGAAGGTTCAGATTGGATTGATTGATTACCGCTTTAAGCCTAGTAGTTACCTATAGGAGTTTAAGCCCTACCTAGATAGGTAAGTGGGTCTAGGAGAGTGACCGGATTGAATTGATTGTTGCGGAGTCTAATTGTAAGGGGCTAGACCCCAGCGGCTGTATCGATGACGATACACAGATGACTGATCAAGAGATGCCTTGTAACAGAGTGGATTTGACAAAGAGCTACAAAAGGATGCTAGCTGTACATAAATACAGGAGCGGACCGAAGATGGGCCGAAGTAGAATTAGATGGATGATGACAGAAACCTATAGATGTATCTCGAAGGAATCGCATGACGACAGCTACGCACACAGCGTAGCGCATGTAATAGGCTCAGCCTGTTACAGTGATCTCCAATGTCTGGATGCAAAGCTTGTGGTGCATTGTTGTTGTGCCGATCTGGGAGATAGCCAGGTATGTCGTATGCATGGCGAGATTCCATTGATGGAGTTGGGCGCTGTAGGACAGCTATTGTTGAGTTGGTTGGTGATGGTGAGCGTGAAGGACTCATGGTTCCTTTAGTTAAGTCCATTGGGCTTCTGTCCGAATATGCGGCGGAAATCTCTATTTCTTCAAGATGCTGGTCCAGTTGCTCAGTGGTGTAGAGATCTTTAGCAGTAGCAGTGAAATGAGGTTGTTCGAGATCTAGAGTCTCTACCTCTTGTTCAGTGATCTTGTTTGTAGTGATGTTGTTGAGTTTATCGTCCTTATAAGAGAATTGCCACTTAAAGATAACGTCTCTAGTCCTAATTACGCGGTCGAGTGTCGGTATCCAGACTCTGTAGATGTTTGATGAGTCGTATCCAACGAGGTATCCGATGTGAGCTCGTGGCTCAGTCTTGTCAGCAGCTTTGATGTCTCTGCGATAGACATAGGCTCTGCACCCAATAGGTGAGTAGTGAGCTACCGAGGGCTTTGTATTGAAAACAACTTCATGAGGTGTCTTCCATCCAAGTGAATGGACTGGTGTAGTGTTGAGCAGCTGTACTGCTGCGACAGCGAGCTCATTAGTGAGGTCTTTTGGCAGTCCTGATGAAATGCGCAGAGCGCGAGTGCGCTGCATAATAGTCCTGCCTGCTGCCTCTTGGAGACCTTTTTGCTCATCAGTGTTCTCAGCCGTTGTTTCAATCTTGATTCCAATGCTCTTGCACGCTGCAGCAAAGTCGCGACCAAGTCCTTTCTCGTTGTCAGATCTAATGATGATGACAACGTACTTGTAGCCAAGCTGTCGCTGGATCTTCTCAATGAGATTGAAGACAGCGGGAATAAGAGTGGTTTTAAGTCGATTTGGAAGGCAAGAGATCTCATGCCACTTAGAGAATTGGCAGACAGCGTGTAGAGCGTATTTGTCGCCGTTGTAGCATTCTTCTCCTTGAGGGACTAGGTATACCAGGTCAATAGCGATGCGTTCGAATGGCCGAGTAGAGACCGTGTCTGGTGTACGCCGTGAGATTTGTTTGTTCATCTTTGTAAGAATGCAGTCTTCGCATTCCTTCCAGGATTGTGGAGGATCACTACCTTGGAGTTTGAAGCCTCGAACAGCTGCTTCAAGATGGCGGATGGTATCTGGCCCTGGGTGGGCCCAGATGTGATGTGCTTCAGTAGCAGTAGCCTTAAGATGAGGCTTTGGATCATGTGATGGCCTAAATGCAGCCATGGATTGCAGTGAGTTGGCGTTTGGACGTTTCCCATCATCCGCGTCTATGAGCCAGTGACCTGCGTGGTAGTCTAGGAGAGCAACAACGTTGTTTGGAGTCGCTTGGTATAGGTGATTCTTTCCAGAATCAAAGTGAATCTTCATGTCCTTGCAGCGTGAGAGGCTGAGGATGTTGGCAAAGAAACCCTCCACTAGGGCAGTGATCGGAATGGTCTGGTCTGACTTGGTCTTGGTCTGGTCTAGACCGCCAAGACTTGGTCTGGTCTGGCGATTTTTTGAGACCGTGGTCGGACCGGTCTAGATGATCGGACCGGTCCGGCTATAAATAGGTCCACGTGACTAGATCTTAGACTAATCTAGCCAGAAAATTTAGCACAATATGAGTCATTAAGATCAAGGTAAGTCTTCTACTTACATAGAACAATCAAGTCCTTAACAACCTACTTATATACTATTGTTATGGAGCCTTCAACACCAACCTCACCGTCCCCATCGAATATTATAAGACTAGATTTAACGTCTCTTACTCCATCTCCTATCCCCACGTCATCACCCACCCCTATACTATCACCCACTCCTATTCAATATCACGAATCTCCAGATGAGTTCGTGCAGGGCGGTATCACGTACGTGAAACGTGCAATAATTGCAAGGAAGGATTTCCGTCAAGGTACATCACACATCTGGAAGTACGGACTCCAATACATTCGAGATAGCGATAAGAAAGAGGTGTATTACTGCCATGAGTGCAGGGTTGGGAAGAGCAAGCAAGAGTTGTTTGTCATCAATGGCACTTCTAGGATCCGGAATCACCTGGAACAGAAGCACCAGATTGATCCCCAGAGTGGCATCAAGCGAAAGGGTTCTGTACGGAAGTCTATAATCGACCAGCAAAAGGATGGGGCTGCTTCCAGCATCTTTTTCTGGAAGGAGTCAGTAGAGAAGTTTAAAGAGCTTCTAATTCGTTGGATTGTGTACTGCCATATCGCCTTCTTTCAATTAGAGAACCAGTACTTTCGTGAACTACTCCTCTTTTTAAATCCGGCACTACTCAACCACCTCCCGAAGGCTGCGAAGACTATCCGAAGCTGGGTAATAAATGCATTCATATCGAAGAAGCAACAGCTTAGGGAGGACCTACACCATTCACGGAGTAGGATCTCTATCTCCTTTGATCTCTGGACTTCACCAAACCCTTACGCTATCCTAGGCGTCGTCGCTATGTGGATTAATACTACCGGCATGCGACGTGTTACCGCTTTAGGTATGCGACGTATATACTAGAGAGAATCTTGGATCGGTGGTCCTTGAATTGCTGGAAGAATACGACATTAGCGGAGATCAGATTGGATACTTTATGCTGGATAATGCCTCGGCAAATGATACCGCTGTTGAGTTTATACTCAAGGATCTCTGCCCATGGATGAAGTCAAAACAACGTCGTCATCGCCGGCTGCGTTGCTTGGGCCATGTCATCAACCTCTGTTGCCAGGCGTTCCTTATGGGGCGAAACTGTGAGAAGTATCTTGCGAAGCTGGAGAAGCATCATCAACGTGGCGACTATACGAAGGTGGAAGAGCTCTGGAAGAAGTTCGGATGTTTGGGTCGTCTTCACAACCTGGTGCGATACATCAGGCTTACTCCACAACGGCGTAAGGAGTTTGCTACAATTATTATCGGCGGAGATCTTTCGCAATTCGACGGGCTTGAGCTTATCCAGACACCTATATAGCTGCAGTTCCTCCATAGCTACACAAGATTACACGTGCATTACCTCTCCTCACACCGTTACATCTTCTCGGCTCGTCATGTACCTGGAAAGGGCTCCGTAGGGATCGCGAACTTTAAGCTTGATGGACAGCACTGGTTTGAGCTTAAAAAGATTGAACTCGCTCTCAAAGACTTCTATGCTACAACTTTGCTTTCTGAAGGTAAGAAGACGTCACTTGCGGACTGGTTTTCAACTTTGGACTGCCTTCTCCGGGAGATAAGCGAGACGAAGGATCACTACCACGACATCCAGACTGAGGACGATAACAACTTTACATGGAAGTACCTTCAAGGCTGCGCTGATGCTGCTTAGTTAAAGTGCGTTGAGTACTATAACAATCAGCAGCTGAATTGGCAAAATCGATTCCCTGAAGATACTGACCTTCCACCGGCATATTATGCGGCTCAAATCCTTAATCCATATCGCAAGTGGGGATGGTTCAGGCAAGAGTGGGTTCTTCATGGCGACGAAGAGAAGAAGAGGTGGTTTGAAAACGCACAATTAGCGGTGAAGCATCTCTGGGAGACAGAGTATAAGGGAAGGTACCCTGTCGAGATGCTGCCACCACCAGCCAGGAAGGAGAGAGATCCTGACCCAGCATTTGATCGCCAGCGGGAACATAAGCGCATTCGAATAGACGCTCCAGTTTCTACAACTGATTTGTATGAACAATACATCTCTACTGACCGGCTTCATAACGAAGAGGCAGGTTGCAATGAGGCTATTGCGTACTGGCTATCTCGCTACGACTCCCAACGAGATCTCGCTCGCTTCGCTCTAGACATGTTTGCGATCTCGCCTATGTCGGATGAATGCGAACGTCTTTTTAGTAGCGCGAAGCTTACTATCGTCGATCGCCGTGGTAGGCTGAAGGCAGATATTATAGAAGCGTGCGAGTGTCTCCGGGCCTGGTATGGAAAGCCCCAAGCTGAGGGGAACAGCGATATCGAGGATAGTGAGAACGAAGACTACTAGATTGACAGTCAGTAGTAAAACACATTTCCTCGGCTTCCTTCTTTGCTTCAGCCTCATTCTTGGCGGTCTTGTTGGTCGGACCGGTCTGGTCGGACCGGTCCTTATGTAAGCACCTGGTCTGGTCTGGTCTGAGGGTACAGACCAGACCAGACCAGACCATTCCGATCACTGCACTAGGGCAACGTGGGTAAGCTGGATGTCCTGTATACCATTTGGTGTCCTCACTGGAATGATAACATTTCCCCATTCGCTGATAGAGACTGACTGTGAGCCAGCGTACAAAGCTTCGTCAGCTGTACTGTACCGAGTGTGGGTCCATCTCCATGATTTGGAGTTGATGACGTGAACATTTGATCCAGGATCCATGATCCATCGGTTGATGTAAGGTGGGTTGGATACATGATTGGTAGAGAAGGCCTGAAAAGAACAAGCCATGCTGTGGGGTTGATGATCGCCATGGGCTTGGGCATCAAAGGCAATAGGCGTTGTGGTTGGTTCGGATGTAGCCTTCGCGTTTTGCCTTTCCGCAGCTCTCTGAAGCTGCTTGGCAATTCTTGGATTCTTCTTAGCCTTTTTAAACTTGGCTTCAATCTCTGGGTCTAGTGTCCATCCTGCTCGGCGAACTGCAGGATTGATGTAGGGACAGTTTGAATACCAATGTTCTTCTAAACAGATGCATTTGCCTGGTGGATGATTATGCTTCGCTTGAGGTTTCTGATTCTGGCTAGGTCCTTCTTCGGTAGTATTGGCCTTGGTAGACCCGCTGCTGTCAGCGATGCCGAGAGAGGCGCCGAATGTTCCAAAGGTCGATCCTTGGGGTTTTATAATGCGGAGAAATTGACGGAAGCTAGCAACTAGGGTATTGATTGTCGGTAGATCTAAGTCTTTTACCGCTGGGTTTTCCTGTAGATCCAAAAGCTTGCGGAGCTCAGCTGTAGCCCAGGTCTCATGTAGCTTGTTGGCTGTGACAAGGAATTCTTCTTGAACTTGTCCTCCTTTCATCTCAGGCATGTCAAGCATAGCCATGAGGTCAGTGACGCGTATCCATTCGTCTAGCCATTTGTCCACGCTTGTGTTGCGCGGTTTAGGTGATCGTAGAGCGTCGTATTTCACCCTAAGCTCTCTTCTTCGGGTAGGGTCGGATGGGGCTATGTGGGCTCTGAGCTTGGCTAGTCGTGCGTGTGCAGTTGCGTCATTCTGGATGAGAGGAATCAAAGAAGTGGAGATTGTTGATGCCACGTCAGTGCAGATCTCCTTGAGAGCTTTGTCTTTCTGGTGCCACTCCTTGTACTTCCATTCCCACTCGCTGAGCTTCATTCGCTGTACTTGAAGAACTTCGGCCGTAAGGTCTCCATCTGGGAGTATAGGGCGTTCAGGTTTTGGCGTAAGAGTGGGTGGTGTAGAGACTGCTGGATTACAGTACTCCCATACTCCATGTGACACTGCCTTATCCTTGTGTTGAAAGAGCCAAAGGGACCAGTCCTCTGGTTTTGTCAGGATGACAACGGTCTTAGTAGACCTCTGGGTTTCAACTGATGCCATTCTAGATAGCAGAGTATCGCAAAGTTGGGATAGGTTGTCGGGAGATAGATGCCAAAGAGATGGCAGTTGAGTGAACTTCAGTGGTTAAAAGATTGCAGTAGGCAAATCCGGGCTCATAACTCTCACGTATGTGATATGGAAGAAGAGATGAAGGACTGAGTTGATTGTATAGCTATGAACGAGGGAAGCTATATATATGTGAGGAATGAGAGAGTGTAGGGATAGCCCTGCTAGCGTGCAACAGAAGCTGAGGGGTCGATGGTGGAGAGTTCGGTGTTCAAAAGTTTCCTCAAGCCCTCGGACTCATCTAGGTGCTGCTCTAGAGGCTGGGTGTTGCCTTCATATAGATGCGTGCTCGATGGTGCGGTGCATGAGTCGTCGAAAGACTTGTATCTCTGCTCTCTGCTTGAAGGTGCCTCGGCCATATTGGATTGTGGGACTGTACTATATGGCTTGTATTGGGTGGGAGTATTTCGCTAGTACTACGTGCGCGGTATAGTTGAGTACGTTAGAGGTGAGTTAGTTGGGTAAGACAAGGTAAACAGAAACGAGAAGGGCTATTTTTGGCGCTAGCAGAACCAGGCTAGTTACAAAACAAACAAGTACGAGAATTTACCTTGGACTAGGGAATTATCAGTGAAGATGAGAAAAGAAAAGAAAAGAGGACCGAGCGAACGTTACATAGTATATGGTGGATGAGTATCTAGCCTATAGTTTTGTATATTCACTCGTACTTGATTTCACGGGTAGGAATTGCCTTGTTCTATGTAGTAGTAGTGTAAGAGAGCATGAATAATCTATGATCTGGCTGAGGCTTAGACATTGTATATACTATAAGAAGGAAAGTCTGAAATAAGCACATAATGGATACTATGCTATAGAAAATTGCCTTTATTTGAGAAAAGTGAAATATGTTGAGTCCTATTTATACACGATTCAGTAAACCTTAAGCAAAAAAAACCCCCCGTGTTTGTTACAAAATACTTCTGGCTTTTTTTAGGAACAGCCCACAAGATGACTTTGCATCTGTAACGACATTGAGATGTCTCAGGTACCATCACCCATCCGGCAAAGGAGAAAGGGGTGACATCTGAGCTCACTACACGGCATTAAATAGCCACATTAAAGCAACAATTTCACTGTCACAACACAAACAGCATCTTCAAAAAACAAACATAATACTTTGTTAACCTAACCCTTCCCTAAGAAACAACTACGCACCAACCCTAAAACTCTCCGGCGGCCCATTATGACTCCCAACCACACCCCCCAAGTCCAGCACAACCTTCTGCAACACAACATTCGCCTCCACCAACCACACCTTCAATGTATGCTTCCCCGGTGCCACGGCCCCGAAATTCGTCGTGTTATACCACGCCGAATCCGCAACCGCCTTGCCCCATCCAACCGGGAAATTCGGCTGCGGCTGATCAATCACAAACTGCCTGCGCTGCGGTGTCTTATCATCGACCTGCGCGACATAGGCCAGCGGTGCTTTGGGATTGATGTTGTGTGTTGGGGTGAGTATCATGGTGACGTTGAGGCCCTTGTTCGCGGTCGTGGGCGTGAAAGTGTAGAAGTCGTATTCGAGTGCAGGCGCCGACTCAGTGGTGAGGCCCTCAGCGAGGTTGTTCTTGAGCTTCATGGCGGAGAGTGTGCGGCCGTATTTGGGGAGTGTGGTGTATGTGTTGTTTGAGGTGCCTGGGGTGATACGGGTGTAGTGTTCGGCTTCAAATGCCAATTGACCGGAGGATTCGACGAAGCCGCTCGCAAAGGAGGAGGGGATGGAGGTTTTGTTTACGGCGAATGTTACCTGGGGGTTTCCGCCGATAAACGGGGTGGAGGCGCTGAAGTTTAGTTTGCTGGTGGCGCTGAAACCGGCGGGCAGTTTAGTCCAGTCGACGGTTACGTAGACGCGCACGTCGGGGTCGGTGGGGGATAGGGTGCCTTTGGCTTGCGAGAGCACGATGAAGGGGTCGGCGCTGATGTTCCAGGAGAAGGTTTCGGTGCCACGGTGGGAGATTTCGATCCAGCGTCGCGGCGTGTAGGGTGTCATGTCTGGGAGGGGGAGTGAGGAGCCGCCGTTGCTGTGGTATTGGTCGTCGCCGGGGATGGTGGCGTTGGAACCTTGGACGGAGATTCCCATGTTGCCTGCGAGGGAGTCCTCGAGAGTCTGGACCCAGCGGAGGTCGGGGGTGGATTGGCGCATGGGTTGTTGCCTGGGTATATTAGTATTCACTTCTTGAGAATCTTGAAACGGTATCAAACTCACCAGTACCCCTGGTAGCCAAGATGGGTTTGGTCCATCATGTGGTTCCATTTTCCGTTGAGTTGTGCGTGATATCGCTTTGTGAGGTTGTGGTCCTTGTTCATGCCGTCGATTACACGCTGCATCCATTGGTTGGCACTGTTGCGTCCCATCTGCGCATATACCATGTTCCTTGCACCAGATACCTGAATATCGACCATGTTGCCTCCGGCGAGTACGCGGTGGAGAACAACCTCGTAGAAAGCAGGCTGCTGCTCGGCGGGGAGTGCACTGCTGATTGCGTTGGCCTTCTCGGCAAGTGCTTCCCATCGAGCAAGAATCTGGTCTGCTTCCTCGTAGTTGTGGATGCTAAAGGATGATGGCTCGACCCACTCAAACTTGCGCATGTTGGCGAGCGCACCGTACTCATCCATAATATCGGCGATGGTCTGAGCGTGCTCAGCGTCGAAGTTGCGGGCAGCGAAACCAGTCAGCCACTCTGGTACAGAGGTCTCGTCGTAGGAGTCCATGTCATAGGCAATATCGAACCAATGGCTAATGGCAATCTCAGCGGGCTTGATGTCACCAACGTTGACAATCCAGATACGGTCCGCCTCACGGTCCTTGGCGAGCTTCATTTGGTCGTAAGTCTTCTGGAGCTGGATGGTGTCTTGCCACTTGAAGTTACGTGAGTCACCGACGTAGTCAAAGTGATAGTAGACACCAGCACCGCCGCTTCGTTTCTTCTCGTCGCCAACAGGGAGGCGGCGGATGTTTTGCCAGTTGTCTTCGGTCCAAAGGAGAGTGACCCAGTCGGGGACCTCCATGCCAGCCTCGAAGTAGTCCTGGACTTCCTTGTACAAGCACCACATTTGAGGAACCTCGGATGCGTTTCCGTGAATTTTGCTCAGAATGTCTTGTTGAGCATTGACCACGGCCTCGAGGACACTGGTTTGTACATCAGAGGACATGGCGGTGTCGTGGTATCCTCGCATACCGACTGTGACAACATTCTCGTATGGTGCAGCACGCTTAGCGCCATCGTAGAAGAAGTCGTACAAAGTAGCGTTGTTGGTTGCCCACGACCATCCTGATTCACTACCCTTGGCGACCTTGGTCCATTCTTGTGTAGCGCGTACCATGGGCTCAGTATGCGATGTTCCCATCACAATGGCGTACTCGTCTGCAAGCGGTTGGTTGCGCGGATCGTCAACATTGAACATGCTGCTCCACATAGCGGGCCAGAGGTAGTTTGCCTTTGACCTGAGCAACAGTTCAAAGACCCTGGAGTAGAATTGTGCTCCAAAAGTCGCACCATTGGGGGTCTTGGGGAATTTGCTACCTGCCCAGCCGGTCAGAGCAGGTGCTTCGTCGTTGATGAAGAAACCGCGGTATTTTACTGTAGGTGATTTTTGGACCTTTGTGGCGTTGAGCATGTAGATGGATTCGTGCTTCTTGGCGGGCACGTCTGCGAACCAGTACCATGGTGAGACACCGATTTGTTCAGAGATATCGTATATACCGTAAATGGCACCGCGGCGATCGCTACCTGACAGGAGGGTCAGAAATGGTGTAATGCCGCGTCAATTGTACGTACCAGCAATGACGAGTGCGTCGCCAGTCATGTTTCCAACGTTCTTAACTACCGTGCTCACGTAAGCCTCCCACTGGCCTTCGACCCCACTGACATCGAGTTGACCACTAGAAATCAAGCCGTCGATTAAGCTTGAGTTACCAATAGTACCCACGATAATGGTTCCAGCAGAAGAGCTCGCAGGAGCACTTCCACTGACACTCCAGTCGCTGCTGATACCAGTAACATTGAAAATCATAGAAGCACTGGCCTTTGCCGACCCAGTGACTCTCATTGTGCCATTGCTACCAGTGACACGTCCAAAATCAAGCGCGAGGTCGTGAGCAGCGCGCAAAACACCAGGCCAATCCGCAGCATCAGCGTGGATGCTAACAGGGGAGCCACGAGAGGCGAGAAGAGCGGTTCCATTGTTCGCAGTGGTGGACACAGTTGGCTTGCGGAAAGCCTCAAGAGCAGAAGCAGAGCCAGCAAAGGCTACCGACAGCGAAAGAGCGCCGACGACGGTACGAGAGAGGAGCTCCATAGTGCTTGTTCAGTCGAGCAACGTCCTGAAGAACCACAATAACGCGGAATCTACCCTGCTTTTGAATCATTTCCCCAGACCGTTTTTCCCCATAAAAACGGTCAACCCATGACCCCATTCTACGGTCTGGACGACCTAATCCAGCTACATGCACGCACATCACCTTCCCATCTCCACTAGTACATGACTAACAACACTGCAGCCTTGCGACATGGCATCTACTGGCCAAAGGCCCGATATGATGCGGATGGACCCAGCCGCGACCGGTTGTTGTGCAAAGGCTAAACGGAAGTGAACTGCGATTGCCCATTCTTCTTTCAGCAGTAGGAATTCTAGAAGAGAAGCTGAAGCGCCTTGGCAGTCAATACGATAAGCTTGTGCGCACACCAATATGCGGATCATTGAAGAGCACAGACACATCTGGTACGGATAGGTGGTTGGGTATATATTACTGCTATGCAGTAAGCTCATCGACCGACAAAATATCTGAATGGGGTATCGAGGCGACGGGGAAATTATTCCGGGCATTTCCATCATGCCATCCCATCAGCCTGGGCCATGGAGAGGATCTACTGAGGAAAGGAAGACGAAATTGCACTACAGATGCACAAGGACGGACGCTTGGAAAATGGGTCCATGGGCTATTTTTCGGACACAGGGCTGCCTCATCCCCACGTTACGGTAAAAGGCTAAATGTGTCACGTGTGTGGCTTCCCCGCAGTCCGCCGTGTCCACATCGGCGGCTAGTGTCGTGGGCCGATTGCCAAGCATCGCGAAAAAATGTTGGAAAGCGCGACTCTCTCACCCGATTAGCCAGTGCAGCCGTCTTTGCCAACGTCACAATCCTGTTTTAGTGCGACTTTTTCTGTTGGACTGCATTCGCCCCGTGAGCATCGTCTCGGACTTTGATTGTCCGTAAGGAACGTTCGTCGTCGACCCGGTTGTACGAACAAGACTCCCTCCGCTACCTCGGTTCTAAGGATTGCAACCTGCACAATGGCCCAAGGCGCAGTTAAGAAGAGCAAGGCCGCGGCTCCCAAGAAGTATGTCCGATATCGCACGATAAGCGCCTCTCTTCAAGTTTTACTAACGTGATTTCTCAGACCTACCCAGCGCGTTCAGCGCGGCGCCCGTGTCATCAAACCCAAGAAGACGTCGATAATAACGCAAAACAAAATCAAGCATAAGAGCAGTTCGGGGTTAGTCGGACAGACGGAAAAGTTACTTGCGCAAAAGGCTGGACATTTGGAGATGCTAAAGGGAGGAAAGAGGGACAAAAAGGAAGGCGCGAAGAAGGAGGGTGGGGACAAGAAGAAATCTGGCTGAAAGGACTCGGGACACAGTAAAGATGCTCTACGGCAGGCGCGGGTGGAATGCGACAAGTATTCGGACATGACCTACTGCTTCTGGGATGGCCAGACGGCCTTGGACCATGCTGCAGCACACGAGGAACAACAACGAGATGGTGCATTTTGACGTGTGCGGATACCAACATGTGGGACGATGCTGCAAGAGGTTGCATCAAGCTTCGAAGCTGACAATATTACTTCAGCACTGCATGACGTCTCTGAAGAAGTGCCGAATACGAGGAGAAGGTGTTGTCATTAGCATCTCAAGTACCCCGCTCGTAGAGAGAGCTCCGAATGGTAGCGCCGTATCATTGACCCAAGGAAGAAAGAAAGTCCAACACCAAGATATGCTTAGATAATGCCAGCTCGTGCAGCCTCGCCGCCGCCAGCATCCACAATCATCTCCCTAGTCATGCCTCTTCCCAAGCCCCCTTCGCCGACACCCATTCTCCGTGCAACGTAACGCTGTGCAACTATGCCTACACTGAGGTTGATGGTCTCTTCCATCCACTCACTAACCCACTCCCTAGGGTCCACGCCGCCGCTTTCGATAATCTCCTTGATCTCTTGCGGTAGTTTTGCTTCCTCGCCTTCGAGTTCTGTGTTGGCAGGCGCATCCAGCCACTCCACCCACTTGGAGGGGAAGGATTGTGAGATGGCTTTGAAGCTGATGCCGTGGATGGGGTCATGTAGATAAATGGCAAAAGCTACCTGTTCGTCGTCTGCTTTCGGCTCTTCATCCGACTTTTCTTCCGAAGATGATGTGGCGAAGAGTTCAGCTTGAACTGGGTAGCTAATGGCCTGGATCGCAATGAAAATGTCACTACTCCGCACAGGATTTGTTTCGCTGAGGTCTTCAGTCGCCTGCTTTGCAGCTTCTTCTACACCTCCTCTTGCATTGAAGAATTCGTTTGCGTATGACTCTGCGCTGACACGTGCAAGCTTGGTACCTTCCACAAGTCCCTTCACTACGCTCAGGTCGCGCTTATCGTTGTGACGCCACCATGGGCCGTCATTCCAGCCTCCACTGCCGCCTCGGTAGCCTTCGAGCGAACCGCGTTGGGTTGATTCAGAGCCTCGTTGGATAACCATCAAGTCACCGCCTTCCACTTGCGCCATGACGCCAGCAAAAGTCTGGTAAATGAGGGGATCCAGCGACGGGTAGCCGATGAGATCGTGTGTGATGTGGATTTGGAGACGTTCATGTTGTGAAATAGGTGGGGCGAGCGTGTTGAGGAGATTGGTAAAGGTTGGGACGGCGCGCTTGCCCAACTCATCGCCTGGTATATGTTAGTGTAAAGCTTCAAGTGAGGTGGGATGAATATACCCAGGCCGCGAAGAGCACCGACGTTCCCTCGCACTTGCTCTGCCCATCGCTGCGCCTCTTGGTTCTTCTGAAGCTCTTGGTAGGCTGCCTCGGCTTGCTTCCTCGCCGTCTCTGCAGCTGCCGTGGCTGTTGATACGAGTCCTCCCCATCCACCACCCCACCATGAGCCCCCTGACTGCTTCTCCTCCCTTGGCTCGGGCGCTTGCTGTCTGGTCGGCTCTTCTAGTGGGGGCACAATGCCCTGGTGGAAGGAACGGGTGCTCTCGCCCGACTTCCTTGGGGGAGCAGGCCTATTATCTTCACTGGTACGTGCTGAGGCAGTAGAAGAAGGGGTGGCGACGCCGGCAGCACGGCGATTGCTGGAGGCAGTTGACGATGACGACACTTTGGGTGTATTTGGTCGGCTGAGTGGTCGTGGCGCGACTGGCTGTTGGAAGTTTTCCAAAGCCTCTAGCTCCTCCAGCTCCTTCAAAGCCGCGGCGTCTTCCTTGTTAATCTTCTGACGTGGAGGACGAGACCCTTTGGCATGCTTGGGCGGCGGTGCGGGAGCCTCCGCTTCCATCTCCAGCTCCGCAAGCTGCTCCTCCACTGTCTTGGGCGGCATGATGACTACAAAACAAACAAGCGAGGCCAGACAATAGCAACAGCAATGACAGTGGTAGTGTTGCGTGTAGCGTCTATACCAAGGTGAATGGCGCGTCTATTGATGGAGCATAAACGAACGACGACTACGTGCCAGCGTCAGGCAAGTTGCAGTTAGCGCCGTCTCGCCATTGGCCCGGGACAGATGCCAAGCGCATCATGCTTCGCCTTTTGCTGAAGCAGCCACGACCCCGTAACAAAGATCATCACACGCCGTACCACGGACTATACCATTTACCTTTTTCTTTTCTAGCTCCCCTTTTCTAGCTGCCATCGTCGATTTGCGCGCTTCAATTGCCGGGGCCCAAGGTTTTGCTCATCTTGTTTACTGCACGTTTTCCGTCACCCTGAGACAGGCTTGCGATTCGCGCTACGCCTCCCTTGGCCCCTACATGGAGACATTGCTTCCACTGATGCAAACCAAACTCAACTCAACATCTTTTATTGGCTTTTTGTCGCTGAATCAGTACAATGCCGCCACCCAGAAATGCGCCTACGCGTGCAGCACAGCGCCGCGGTTCGCACCAAGATGACACGCCTACCCGAACCCGTGGTCGGGGAGCAAAACCAGCCCCATCAAAGTCAGATACCTCGGACATGGTCGCCTCAAAGTCAAGTCCTACCAAACTAAGTCCTACCATTACGAGGAAAACAACCCGTTCCGCCTCTAACATATCCGGAAATTCCTTTGAGGCTGCACCTGAAATATATGCCTCATATGAGCATCCGCTTTTCATGGTTTTTGGCTTATCGGCCGAGTTTTTCAATGGCCTCAAGAAGCATCACGGGAAACTTCCAAAAGAACGGAAATCCATTGTGGGCTCGCTCCTAGAAGCCTCGCCTTCTCCAGATGAAGATGGTTCCGAATCGGAAGAAGAGAGCACCGAAGAAAGTGAGATTGAAATGCCGGTTGCGCCCCAACCCGCGCCAAGAGGTCGCGGTCGCGGTGGTCGAGGCTCACGTGGAGGACGCGGCCGAGGCGGTCGGGGCAGAGGCAGCAGAGGTGGTCGCGGGAGAGGAGGCATTGCAAAGTCTGCTTCATATGCGCCGTCGAGAACAGCTCGAAGTACTGGTTCCGTGTATCCTTTTACTGAAGATGGCGATGGCCAACCCTCCAATCAGAGCACTCCAAACCATGGCGCCAAGCCACCATCGCGAGCATTCAGTGGTACTGATTCCGACGACGACGACAACGAGGAAGCAATCGAAGATGACAGTGCAGATGAATTCGAGAACATGCCCATGCCCAAATATAGGGGTGCCCAACATGATTCGCGTCATTCCGAGTCGATCAACGGAGCATCTGAGCCGTCTAGGTCAAACAAGGCTTCTGTTCCTAAGATCGCCCTACTGCCGGAGTCGACTTCACAAACACCGCGCGATTCTGCATCTACACCAGCTGAGTCGGCTGTTCCGAAACTCTTAGCTCCTGAAGAGGACGTACTATCGGAATCTGACCTCCCAGATCCTTTCATTGAGGATGCACCTTCACCTATCGAGGCAGAATGTGAAGATCGGGCCGATTACCTCCTTCACAAGCGCTTCAAGCCTTTGTCTGACGTTCAAGCTGCCATTGCTGCCCTTACCAAATTCCCTGCTGGCCAACGAAGTACTGCGAACCTGTATACATTAGCAGAGAATGCCCAACACATCCTTAAAGCCTGGCAAGATGAGTATCTCACGTTGGATGCAAGAGTAAGTCAAATCAAATGCTTCATTTCGCATTCACTAATTTTCTTAGACCGCGCCTCATATGCACCCAGCTAAAAAGGCTTGCAATGGTGGGCGCATTCCCCTGGCACCGGAAATCTTTGAAGATATGAAAGAAGCAGATCTCTATGGCTACACATATGATCCAAAGAAACCACCAGGTTGTCAAGATCCTTGGGCACAGCGACCTGGAGCAGAGAAGGGTGGCCGTAGAGAGCTTCGTACACGTCGTAACCGTGACATGCTAGAGTCAGCAGCACCCAGCGAAGATGAAGGGGAAGAAAACGACATCGAAGGCCGGCCCTCAAAACGACAGCGAAAGGCTACACGCAAGTTTGATGGCACCGATACCGGCACAGGTGCCAACACCCCCAAGAAGCACAACGGGTGGGGTGGTGCGCGCAAGAAGGGCGTCAGCAGATTCGCAAAGCCGAATTCAGAGACGCCTGAGCCCGAAGCAAGGACAACAAAGCGCGCACGCACTGCAGCTAGTAACTTACTTCACGCACGCATACAAGAGATGCGAGAGGAGTCTCTTGTAGGCAGCTCAGGAGATGAAGAGTCATCCACAATCGATGTTGATGATTATACTGAAGGAGTCCGGAAGCGTGGGCGTCCGGCTGGCAGCAAGAACGTTGCTAGGCGTAGCGATTACGGCATAAAGAAGGGACCACGGAAGAAGACCAGCGAAGCCGGGACCCCAACGCCATCAGCGCATGGTCCAAATCCACCACCTCTGGCATTGAATTCCATGAGCGAAGGTCAAGGACAGTTTACAATTGCGCAGCCTTTTGCAGAGGGCATACCGTTGATGCCACAGCATTCTGCCGAGAATGTTTTCCAAAGTACCCCTCAGTACTCTGCGCCGACTCAAGAGGCTCCTCTTACGCATCCAAGCGAGTCTAGTACACCTGATGCGTACATGCTCACCGCCCCACTTAGTCAGTACACAAATAACTATGTTGACGAGTCTCCACCTAATCCCGGATCGAGACGGAAGCCGCGTGTTAAGAGCGAGAAGCGGAGCCAGTCAATGACCATGTGGTGGGCAGAGCGTAAAGCAAAGAAGCGAGAACAAGACGAAAAAGAAGGCAAGCCAGTGAAACCCACATCACGCTCAAACTCTTCTAGTAGAAGAGGTCGACAGTCTGGAGGGTCAGCAACTGGCGCAACACCGCAGCCTCAGTCTCAAAACCCAGAGTCGCAGCAAGCGTCTCCAGTCCATCATGCTCAACATGCTCCTCTCCAACATAGTCCGCGTCACGCACCCCCGGAATCATATCTGCAGTACACACAGGCTCCTCCCACCTACCCTCCACAGCAGTACATGTATGTCAGCGGACCACCGCCCCCACATCACATGGGGGTGCAATACTCGCCCCTAGCCGCTCTCCCAACAGGGTCCTACCCAAGTCCCTTTACCCATCACAGCGCCCCGCCCCACCCTCAATCTGGAATCCCTCTTTCCCAGCCACCAAACTCCGCCGGCGGGTCGTTTGGTGGCGCACCCCGTCAGCTCGCCCCCGCACCAATGGGCATGCCAACATATCCCAGTCCATACGGACCCCAGAGCCCAGCCGGCGGACGTCCAAAGAGTAGTGAACAGGGCTTACCAAAGACGGTCACAAATGGACAACAGGTTCTGGCACCGGCGCCACCTCAGCAGCAACAGCAACCACCACCACCGCCACAGGGCCAACAGCAGCATTTCAGCCCCTATGCACCAGCTAATCTAGGCAGAGAGATGCCGTTCAAGGTCATGGTGCCAGGGCCGGCACCAGAGAGGAGGGGGAGTCGCTAGGTGCGTCCTCCATCTCATCGTAAGGAGAAAATAGGAGAAGACGGCGATGACATCTGGATTCTTGAGTAAAATAAAGCGTTTGTTTTCGTGTAACTTTTTTTTGGTGCGTGTGTGTGTATTAGGTGCAGTCAGGGTTTGCATGGAAGAACTAGCAGGCGTGAGAGCAATAATGGGAGGGTTTCTTTTTTCGGTTCTTGCATTGGGTAGAGAGGCTCGGTGGGTGGATGGAAAGACGGGGTTTTTATATCATTATCCTTGTTGTGCATGGAGGGCTGGTGTGTGATGGATAGTGTTTTTTGTCCGAGAGATGGTTTTTTTTCTTTGGTGTATCATAGCTTATTGTTACACACGCTTACTATATCTCACATATTTCGAATTTTTCAAGCACTTTGCATCTGTGACACCACTACAATGAACAGTTTCAGGACATGTAACGTCGATGAGTAGAAGATCACATTTCTACCAAAAAAAACAAAGCAGGGAATGTGTTAATGCTGTGCCGAAAACGACGGAATTGCTTGAAATGGGTAAGAAGGGAGTTTTGAACAAAGAAAAACGCCTGGGGAAATGCGCCGGAATAGAACAGCCCTACTACATACACCTCCATCTATCGGATTTCGAATGTGAAGGAGATGTAGAAACTCCTAAGCCCTCCTCCGTTGGAAAACTTCAATCTTCTCCCCTATGCCCCCTTTCCATCCCCTTCATGTACCTCCCCATCCCCCTCCCTATACCCTTCCCCTATACCCACTTCCAATCCCCCTCAATCCTACGGCAACCCAGGCGCCGCACCCGGTGCACCCGCCTTTGCCTTCTTGCGCATACTCTTACTCCTCGTAGTGTAATAATTGCTCGGCTCCTTCATCTCCTCCTTGTCCTGGCGGGCCTGCGAGGGCTGCAGTTTGCCGTCTGCGTTTTTTTCCTTGAGTTTGCTGACTTTGGAACCCATTGTGTGTGGTTGTTGTGAAGCCGGGGGTGGTGGAGAAGTTGAGGGAGGACTGGTGGGTGGAGAATTTGTGATGGGGTTGGAAGACGCTGGAGCTGGAGCTGGAAATGCGGGTGTGGATGTGGGTGTTGAAGCGGGGCGCGCTGGAGGTGGAGATGTTGTTGCGGTATTGATGTTGGTGGAGAGGATAATAACACTATTAATTTATCCGTCAGCGCTTTTAACTCCTTTGAACCCCCTTTCCGTTTGTTATCGCGGCCGAGCGCGTAACGCGCGCAAAGAAATCTAGCTTGAGCCGGCTTCTGGGGCGGGAACGCGTTGCGAAGGGTGTCGCGTGCGCCCCGCCCTCCCCACCAAGACCAATGCTGCCATTCCCTTTTGAAAAGAAAAAACAAAACAAAACTATGAAATGCTAACTTACGGCGGCGCTGGATGCGGTTCAGGCGGCGGCTTATTCGGCGGATTGGAAGTTGCGATTCCACCTGCTCTGCTGTTGTTGTTGCTGCGGGAGTAACTCCTGAGGTGGTACCGTGCAGGACGTTGCTGACTGTGTGGAGAAATATAGGTCAGATAAGATGAACGCACGTGAAAAACGACAAATGCGGGAGATAAGCGGTTTGGCAAGTGGAAGGAATATACGAGGGCTTCTCAACGTACGAGGGAGATGACGTAGGCTTTTGGGGCTGGGGATAGGGACCCTGATCAGCGCCGCCGTCTGCTGCTGGTACCTGAAAGCGGGGCACACGTGCAGGTCCGGATTGGGAAAGAATGATGATGCTGTGATTGGGTGGTTAGTTAGGTAGGGCGTTGGTGGTGGTGAATGGTCGGGGGCGGAAAGCTGGGGGCGTTGATGTGACTCTTTCTTTTGATCGAGAGGTAACGGGCTGATGGTGGGTGTACGTACGGTGGTGCGGCTGGTTCTGGGTCTGGTGATGGCGCACCTCTCCGACGGCCATGTGTTGCTGCTGGCCGCGATTGACGGGCCATTTGTTCTTGAGACTGAAGTTTGTAGAGAGTCTGCCAGAGTAACTCGTAGATCTCAGGGAGAAGGCGATATGTTTCCGCCACGAAGAAAGCTTGAGCGATCATAAACGGGTGCAAATCGATTAGTGGTGACTGTGTAGGATCTTGAATAACGGGATTATAGGGTTCAAGAATGCTCTTGGTGAGTACAGGGGAAGATGTCATGTCCATGGTGTTCATATTGGTAGTGATTGATTCCTTCAAGTCTTCCGTCCCCAAGCTCTTATATACACAATAAGGCCCTCTCATCTCAGCATCAGCTTGTGCACCTTTACTAGCGGTCTTCTGCCTACTCGATAGAGTCACAGCCTTCACACAATCGAGCTCGCCCACTTTGGCCCCATGATCCTACCGGCTCCTTGCCGACATGAGTAGAACATTCGCACGTGCAAAGACGCACCAAAACCACGTTGGAACCCCGGCCAGAACGTGCTTTGGATGTGTAGGTCTATGTTTGGATGGCCCATATCCTGACTGAGTATAGTTTGAGGCAGCCATCGGAGCGATCGGGTTTAGTCAGAAGGTTGCCTGAGGAGGCTCAACATTTAAGCTTTTTCGTATGTCTTGAATATTTCCCGCACGAGTACTGAGCTGCGAGGCCGGACGTGATCGAATTAGATGCTTCAGGCGGGCAATTGTCCGTGAAGATGTCAGGGTGCTGTGGCTGTGTGTATAGCGAAGAACATTGTGAGGAATTCCGATGGACGAGTTGAAGACGGTCAGGGTCGAGCCATTCCTTCCAGCCACCTACCGCAAGCCCCTCCCGACCAAATCGTCTTCCGCCGTTGGTCTTCAGTATTGCATAAGCTTAGCGACCCGAAAGCTGCATTTTGCTGTGGTGTGAGCATTGCGAGGATCGAGAAGCAGAGTGCCATCTCCCACTAGTCAGATTTAGCTCGTTGGACGCCTGGTAGACGCCTTGTAGGGCCGAAGACCAAGTCTTACCGTAGGCCGCCACCATGGCGGTATTGCTCAAATAAGGCCTTCAATCACAGGTGACGGACAAGACGAGTATGCAGCATTTCCGAAGAGTCGGGAATGGTTTGTGTGATGATTGTGACTGATGTGCACCAGTTCGACGCTCGCTAACTACGCGGCTTGTACCTGCCCTGGTGCCAAACCCCCACCATGACACCGTTGACAAACCAACGTCATCATCATCAGTACACAACGTTGGTATTCTTACTCTCCTCGTATTCTTTAACCCCCGAGAAACATACTGCTCTATTACGATTGGACATGTCGCGCGTACTTTGCGTCGGCGAAATGGCCACGCGGCGGCCGATTCCATCATCCAGCTCTTCGGAAGGCCCAGAATCCAGGTCAACCAGCATCGGCAGCTTATCTCAGTCATAAAAATAAGAACCTTAGTGGAGCCGTAACGGTATTCCCGGGCTATGACTCGTGTCTTCGATCATGTCTGCCTCGTCCTACCACGCTATGGTAAGCCGGAGGATTCCCGGGGGGCCAATGGCAGTGCACGCGCAGCGTCTCCACCAAGGCGCAAACGTTGATGCCTTCCTCTAGCTTCATCTTCACAACTGCTTATGGGTCTCGTGATGGAAATGTTCTCAAAACCTCACCGACTTATAGCCAAGAATCAGTATACAGTTTTTTGTACAATTCGGCCCCTCGGAGCATAGGCATTACTGAACGATCACCTTGTTCGTCACCGGTCAATCGTTTCTTACGAGATATTACGCCATTTTCGTCATACCTCCGCCCTTTTCGATGCAGTCGTACTTGAGAAGGGCAGAGAATAAGACCCGAAGACTATGACGTGGGATGAAGATGTGAATTTGCAAACTCCTGGCAAGCATGCAGCTGGTTCAATTGGGTAGGTTTGTAATCACAACACCAGACATTACTAACCTCGTGATAATCCGAAACTATTCGGATTACTTTCATCGGCTCATTAACATGCAGATACTATAACTTGCCCAGGACACGTGTACAAAAGCCAAGTATCGATCAAGTTTCTGGGTTGCTGTGGATGTAGACAGGTCTGCTTGGTTGTGAAATCAGCTCACATTATCAAGATCTGTATAGATGTATATGGATATCAGCTATTTGAAACTCTTCTACAATTCTATGGGATGCTGCCGCGATTTGGACTGCACATTGCATTCACAATCTCCTCACAAAAGATGCAGTCAAGCTTCGGATAAGCTCTCGTACATCTTCTACTTGACATGGACTACGAGCCCTATGGTTTCTTCTATTTCGTGACGTGCGCAGCCATTGATATTGGTGGAGACGATGGTCTAGTAGGAGGAGGAACCGCATGATCGGACATTCAGCAAGTCATCAGTAATTCAGCGTCATCAAACACCCTTTAGGGTTACTCTTACCAATCAATGCACAACTCAATGTTGCGACTATAAACTTCATAGCTTGCGCGCTCAAAACAAGATGGCTAAGTACGAGAAGGATAAGGCACCAATCATTCAGGCACCAATTCATTGTCGCGTGGCATTGACAGGGGTCGACTCGCTAATCTGGGACCCGATCTGGATCCTCAGGTTTCAGGGACCATGTGTGTCATCGATCGGTACTAGGAGACGCGACCGCTGAACGCGTCGAGGGGAGAGCAGCAGAACGTATTTGGTTTCTTACATTCAACTCCTAGGGGTAGTCAATTAAGTTGAGTTGATATATCGCATGCATCGTTTTATCAATTCCACGTTGTCAAAACTCACATTTGCCAATTCCCCTTTACAGTCCCGTACTTCTCACTCTGTGTCGCGATCTGCGCTTTGTTCCATCCAATCTTCCCACATCTCCTCAGCGACGAAGGTAGCCACTATGCCGACCAAGCGCAAAGCAGATATTCCAGCAAATGCCAAATCCGCGATCAAATACACGGATGTATCCGGAGATGCTCCCAACAAGCGCTCGCGCATTGCCAAACCTATCCAGAAAGCCTCTACGAAGAGCACATCGCCGATAGAAGATACTGCAAAAGTTGCTGAAAATGGGGCGCCAGGAGAGGCAGTGAAGAAGGAGGCCGGGCACTTTGATCATTCCAGACCAGAAGAACGAGCAGGCATAGTTGATCGACGATACTATCCAGCTGAAATCAGCAATGAGCGCTGCGCAATGTATAACGCCAATGAGATACCGCGACCGATTGAGATTCTGGAGAAGACCTTGCACACCACAAGTCAGGCCAGAGAGAAGATTCGACTTGGGAAAGATGGCAGCGGCGAGGCAGTTGTACATTGGTTCAAACGTGACCTGCGGATACGGGACAACACTGGCCTGTCCAAGGCAGCCGAATTAGCCAAAGAAAGAGGCATTGGAGTTATTGGCGTGTGGCTAATGAGCCCACAGGATTGGGAAGCACATATCGTCAGCCCACCAAAGTGCGATTTCGAACTCCGATCAGTGGAGTTGCTGAAGAAAGAGCTGGAGGAGCTGGATATACCACTTTATATTGAGACTATACCGGAGAGAAGGAACGTGACGAAGCGATTGGTGGAGCTGGCGCAGGAGTGGAATGTGAAGAACGTCTTTTGTAACCTTGAATACGAACCTGATGAGCTACGTAGAGAGGAGCGATTGGTGCGTATGATGTTGGAAAAAGGCATTGGCTTCGATCCATACCATGATGACTGTGTTGTCCCACCTGGAAGTCTCAAGTCAGGAGCAGGGAAACAATACGCAGTATACAGTCCCTGGTGTCGCGCATGGATTGCTCATCTCCACTCACATCCAGATCTTTTAATAGAGCGCCCGATGCCAGGACAAAACCCAGCCAACTTCCGCAACAAGTTCAGCAAACTATTCGACGCCTCGGTACCCAGTATTCCAGAGTCCAAATCTCTAACACCCGAGGAAAAGGAACGCTTCAGCCGCCTGTGGCCCGCTGGCGAAGCCGCAGCCATTGACCGACTCGAACGCTTCCTTGTGGAGAAAATCGTGAAGTACAAAGACACCCGCAATTTTCCCGCTCTGAACAGTACTGGGCGGGTAAGTGTCCACCATGCCGCCGGCACGCTAGCAGCCCGAACCAGCATACGCATGGCCCGCGACATCAACAGTGCCCAGAAGCTCGACGGTGGCAAAGACGGCGTGAAAACCTGGATTGGAGAAGTAGCCTGGCGAGACTTTTACAGACACGTTCTAGTACACTGGCCATATGTGTGGTGAGTTCTCACACCAATCCTTCCGCCAAACACTGCAAAAAGCTAACCAACACACCCACCACGCAGCATGAACAAGCCATTCAAATACGAATACACAAACATCGACTGGGAATATAACACGGCTCACTTCACTGCTTGGACCCGCGGCCAAACTGGCTATCCCATCGTCGACGCTGCAATGCGCTGTCTGAACCACACAGGCTACATGCACAACCGGCTGCGCATGATAACCGCCTCGTTCCTGGCCAAGCACCTGCTGCTGGATTGGCGCCTCGGCGAGCAATACTTCCTCTCGCACCTCATCGACGGCGACTTTGCTAGTAACAACGGTGGATGGGGTTTCAGCGCCTCGACAGGCGTGGATCCGCAGCCGTACTTCCGTATCTTCAATCCGTGGATTCAGTCAGAGAAGTTCGATGCTGATGGTGAGTTTATTAGGACGTGGGTGGAGGAGTTGAAGGACGTACAGGGGAAGGATGTGCATAATCCATATAAGGCGGGTGGGAGGGCGATGGAGACAGCGAGGAGGATGGGGTATCCTGAGCCAATTGTTGAACATACGGTTGCGAGAGCGAGGTGTTTGAAGAGGTACAAGGAGGGGATTGGGAGGGATACAGCCTAGATCGTAGAGAGAGGTGTTCAGTATTTGTAAATAAGTGTTTTAGTAAAGTGTTCATATTCACATATCTTCTTGTAATCCTACGTATTTTCTCAAGTAAGCTATCTATCCTCAAGCTCACAGCTCCTCACCAGTGACAAGACACACCCCGCAAAGCACTTCCCGAACTGCAATCTCACCTCCACCACTTGCTTCCCCGCGTGCTAACCCTAAAAATAGGAAAAATTTCAAGAGCAAACCGGCAGCGTAGGTGAGCATGAGCACGTACCCCCACCCCGCACATAAAAGCCCCAAATCCCACCAAAACCACCGCCATCCCACAAACCACACACAAAAAACTCTTTAATCAACAAATACCATGGCTTCTACCCCCACTGCCACCACTACTACCACTGACCGGCTCCCCCGAGATGCCCTAACCATCCAGCGGGAGTTAGTCTGTTGTGACGAGGTCATCAACGACGCCCGCGAGCTCGTTATCTACTGCCTTTCTATCGAGGCCTTCAAGGAGGAGGGCAGAATATACAAGAAATGGCATGAGCTCATGGAGGAGATGGAAGAGGCGGAGAAGAAGTGGGAGAAGGAGGAGAAGGAGGAGAAGGAGGAGAAGGAGGAGAAGGAGAAGAAGTGGGAGAAGGAGGAGAAGGAGGAGAAGGAGGAGAAGGAGGAGAAGGAGGAGAAGGAGGAGAAGGAGGAGAAGGAGGAGAAGGAGGAGAAGGAGGAGAAGGAGGAGAAGGAGGAGAAGGAGGAGAAGGAGGAGAAGGAGGAGAAGGAGGAGAAGGAGGAGAAGGAGGAGAAGGAGGAGAAGGAGGAGAAGGAGGAGAAGGAGGAGAAGGAGGAGGAGGAGGACAAGGAGGAGAAGGAGGAGAAGGAGGAGGAGGAGGACAAGGAGGACGAGGCCCGTGTTTCGCGTCCCTCTCGTTGGGATTGAGTGGGGGTGAGGGTGACAGTTCAACACTTACTGCTGCTTGGCGTTCGGGGCTTTTTTGTACAGTAATGAAATGATACCATGACACGAAGCTTCTTTCAATTGTGATAAATGTGATGTTCCTATAAGAGAGAGATATATATAGAAGATGTCTAAAAAGATAAGAAAATAAAATGGAACGTGGGGTTTTGCAAAAATGATGCTTTTGGGACAAAATGTGTGGGTCCCTGTCTTAAGACACTGAATTCTCCTTAGCATAGCTTTCGTGATGCCGAAACGAGAGGGAGACACCATTTTAGTGTCCTGGCATGCCTATACTATCACTACAGATACCTTTAATTCACACTGTCGTACCCCTCGCAGGCATAGCATTAGCGACGCTGACACGACAGGAAGACACCATTGTATCATCCTGGCATGCCTATACTATCACCGCACGTACCTGAGAGCTACCCTGTCGTACTCCTCGCTGTCATAGCGTTAGCTACACTGACACGATAGGAAGACACTATTGTAGCATCCTGGGATACCCCAAAACATCGCCATACGTACCTCATTTCTACCCTACCATACCCCTCGCCATGCTAAGACATCGCATCTACCCATGCCTCTGTCCTCCATTGCCGAATACAACACCACCCCCAGCACCAGTATCCTCTACCCTCGAGAAGACCGAGACCTTATGCGTACTATCCAACAACACTGTACCCGTCCTCTCATTGTCCGGCCACCACCCAGACGTGGAGCAGAGATTCCTACCAGTACTATGCAAGACATCCACCGCCCTGGGACTCCAACTCGGTGCTAGACAAGCATTCTTGCCACGCTTATCAAAGCCCGCGCCGTGACCACCACCACCACGATCTTCTCGGAAAGGCAGTGACTGAACGCCGATGTTCTGCCTCTGCCACTCCTGCCCCGGTATACCAGGATGCGGCATGCGTTCCCTGGGCGATGGCTCACTGACGTCGTAGCGTTCAGAGTAGCTCCCGGTTTTATTCTCGTAGTCGAGCTTCATGACCATTTCGCCATCCTCAGCTTCGAAGCGCACGCGTATAGGGAGCCAGTCTGGGATGGGCTCGCCGGCCATGGCGTCAAGGGCTTCGAGGAGGGGAGACTCTTCTACGATAGAGACGTCCCATTGGGTGTGGATGAGATTGCATTGTGCGATTATCCAGGCTTTCATTCGTGCGGCGCGGGAAAGTTCGAAGGCGGTCTCGGACAGGAGATCAATATGTGGGGAGTGTGGGTGTTGGAAGGAAATGTTGCGGAGGATTCTGTACCATGGGCCGATGGAGATTTGCAGCGGGGTGTGTAGGCGGAGGGGGACGAGAGGAAGGTTCTGGGATATGGAATTTGCCCAGCGTAGGGACTTTGCGAGGTGTAATGCGCTGTCGACGTCGATGATGCGAAGTCTGTCTGGTGGTGGAATGAGTGACAATGCTGCCTCGGCTGGGAAGTGTCGGTATAGCGAGTCGGCGAGGCCGCAGAGAACGTTCTGCAACATCCAGTATCGCGTGCATAGTATCATGCTTTGCACACAGTCGAACTCTAGCGTGTTGGGCATTATATCGGCGATCTCTGGACAAGGTGGGATAGCGGCGACTGTTACAGCTGCTTGCATCAGTTCGGAAACGTGCTGTGAGAGGTCGACTTGAATCAAAGACTCCATGTGGGACACGGCCGCTGCAAGTGCGCCTGCATCATCGGGATTCAGGATCGCATGTCGTATCAGGTAGACTGCGCGAGGACATTGGATGAAGACATGCATGGTTGATATCGATGCTCGTTGAGTAGCCGATAGCAGTATTGTAGTAGAGTCAATAGGCGGCGGATATGTTGCTGAAAGGTAGAAATCATTATCGTATACTGACTTGCGGCCTGCAAGCATGGCTTCATTGACCTGCCCTCGTTAGCCCATGAGATCGAACATCTGGACCAACTATTTACATCATCGATATACGTATTGTCAATCAAGTTCCAAAAGTGCTCATCGTCGACATCAGAAACTGTGCCGGACTTGAGCAATTCTGCAAGACCAAATGCGTGGATCGCATGATACATAGTGTCAATACCCATGAGCGCCTAACAAGCATTAGCCACAATCTAGAACACATAAATTGAGAAGCGCTTACTTCAGCTGCAAAGTGCATCTTTGTAGCAAGCACAACATCATATGTCGTCGTACTCTGGACACCCAAGACGACAAGCTGCAGCTCCCTCAACGCCTTTGCTTTGGACTGTGCTGCAAGTTTACGCTTGGAATGCATCCTGTCTCGATAAGCAGCATAGCTATTCACTAGAAACTCCACAGCGAGATCGAGTGTCCGATTGGACCCGATGCGCGATGGTATCGACTGTATCCAGGTTCCCAAGATGGCGAGCGGCTGCTTGCCCACTTGATCGGACCCCAACATTCCAACATATCGGGAGATTAATGTGGTTTCAGGCGAGACTGGCGAGTATGATACGACAGCAGACGTTTCCTGTAATTGTTTTAGGTAAGCCTCAAATGCATGCTGTTGTAGATTGGACTTCTTCTTTGACGCCTGTAACTTGGATTTGGAGCGCGGTGCCAGCGTCTGGAAGAAGCCTTGGCCATTTTCAGCATGTCTCTCAGTGGTGATACGTAAATCGGATGGCGGGGAAGAAGAAGAAGAAGAAGAAGAAGAAGAAGAAGAAGAAGAAGAAGAAGAAGCGGTCTCAGCCTCGGAGGAACTGAGAGAGTAGACTATGGGTGCTGTTCTTGACTTTCCGTATTTAGTCAGGTGCTTTGGATCTTGCACCACAAATGCAGAGAGTTTGCCATAGGAGTATGTGCATGGTCGATCCTTTTTCTTGCAAGATGCGCATTTTGGTCGCTCTTCATCACACTGTTCTATGTTAGTCTAGAGTCCGGACAAGTATTATAGATAAGCGAAATAATATTGCAAAGGCTTGAGTTGGAACACCAGGATGAATGCCTTACCTTGACCTTCCGCTGACGACATGTGTCACATTTCCCAGTTTGTGTCATGATGAATGTTGCGTGGATATCGGCAGTATGAATCAAGACATCAAGGCAGCGTGTCAGGTTGTATAATTGTGAATTGGTCAAGCTTCACAATGTGGCTGCCTAGGGCCGCCCCGGGAAGTGTTCAGGGTCAGCTTGGAAAATCTTCTCGTATAAAATAGTACAGTCGGCATATGCAGTAATACGAAGCTCCTGCATCGTCGTAGGTTTGTACAAGCATATATCCGATGCCACGAGTTGGACACAGCGAGCATCGATAGTTCGCGTATCGATAGCAGAGGTGCGACAGCGGGTGGCGAGCATGCATCACCCCTCGCAAGCTTTCCTAAATGCAGTTAGCGTAGTTGCTGACTTAATCCATCGCCCGATCTGCCAAGCGACCACATCCTGCTTGGTTTCGCTCAAGTTGGTGATGTTGGTGATGTTGGTGATGTTGGTGATGTTGGTGATCGCTGTATAAATAAAATGGTTGACCCGGAGATTTTCAATGGAATTGAATTGCTGTTGGGTGGTGTCCGAGGGTACGGTTCAACTCTACACCTGCATGGAGCGACCACATCTTAGGATAGAACTCTCATATTCTCATTATGTACCTATCTATATATATACCGCGTGATTATCGTATGCTCATGTATCTAAACAAAAAGATACTAATAGCTTCTCGTTCCGCATGACCCTGCCATCTATTACTGTTGCGGTTTGTGAGGCAAGGGTATTGCGCATGTCACGTGCGTTGTCCTGGCGCTCCTCCCTCTCCTCCATGAGCACCTTCTCCCCTTACCAACATCAGAGATACGTCATGTAAATAGACCCTGATTATGGCTACATATAAGGTGGCCATGACAGCACAACAACAGACACAAGAACACAATATACACTGATGACTGCCTCGCGCGGACACACTTTGATTGACTGCATATACTGCGACAATTACAACCCCTTCCTCGCACCGCCCTTCCCCCGTCCCTCACCCCATATACAACATACACTCAAACTCTCGCACCAAGCTTGTAGCATAACCCCCTCCAGCTCCCTCTCTACAGCCAAAACCTCGTCGCCATGGCCATCTTTGTCTATGGTCAGCAAAGGCTCCCCGTCAGCCTTCATCTGCTGGTTCCATGCTTTGGCTTGCTTCTGTGTGGCCTTTTTGTACGCGCGGATGGTAGTGTGGGCGTTGACATATCGCGTGAAGTCTTCAAGTACAATGGGGTCGTACATGAGGATCTTTTCGTGCCAGCTGGGCTTTGCGGGGTCCGTGGAGGGTGGAAGGGAGCGGATGTGAGATGTTAACTGTGAGAAGATGCTGGCTTTGATGTGCGTCCATTCTAGCATTCGCGTGGCTATGCGGTATACAGGTGTGACGTCTGTATTAATAGGAAGAGCCTTGTCTTTGCCCCTAGCTAGCTTCTTGGCCTTGCTTGGGGACGTGGTGGGGGAGAGCGATATTAGAGGCAAGGGTCCCGAGTCAAGGTGCTTGCGTAATTGGGGCGGAGTAGGCGACAGTGCTGCGAGATCTTCGTCTTCAGAGTCAAGGATCTCGTCTATGTTGATGAATCGTCCCGAGCTCTTCAGTGGTGTCATAGGACTCTTGGGCTTTTCCCTTGACTTCATCTTGGTCTTTGAGGGTGGGGGTTTCAATGATAGTATTGAAGTGGAGACATCTGCTATGGGAGCGAGAGACTTTGGTGGCTGCCTAAGCTTCTTGGGTGACCCGCTGTCTGTCACGGACACGGACACCGGGGGCTTAAATTTCATCGTGGGCGAGTGCCGTATCTGAGCTGAAGGCGGGATGTCAATGCCATCGATATCTATATAGCTATTGTCCATGTCGGCGTTCTGATTGGAAGGTGGAGGCTCCTGTTCAAAATTGTCGATATCCTCAAACCCCACATCAGTCATCTCACGATCGTCGTTGCTGTGTTCAGTTGTTTGTAAAGTTCGTGATGAGTTGCGCGGAGGTGTGGGTAAGTCCGAGGAGATGAGTATCGCCGATGGATAGTCTGGTATGATATCGTCGATATCGATGAACGAAGATGCATCATCAGCTACCTCGTCAGGTTTGTCATCAGCACCATCCATGAGCAAGGGTATGTCTTGTGTCCGATCAGGCTCAGGTATATACATGTCTGACATGTGCTCAAGCATCCCGCCCTCATCGTCTCGTGAACTAGCAGCCCATAGACCTCTTTTGCTCTGTAACTGGCCCCGCCTCGGCCAGTGCGGTGGTGCAGGAGTGGCGAAGCTGTCGACATCCTGCTCTGACTCTTTAATTGCAGACTGAATTTGGCGGATCATCGTCGGCGATTCATCAAGTGCCAATTGACTAGATGTACCGAAGAGCACATCTTGTTTGCTCAAACGGAACAATGCAGAAGTCGGGCTGAGCAGCTTCTCCGCAACAAGCTTTGGCTTAGCAGACTTGGCGGACGTCTTCTTGGGCTTTGCTTTCGCATCCGCTTTACTAGATACAGACTTTGAAGCATTGCGCTTGCATGGCGGCTTCTTTAAAGGTGCATTGGTATCAAGAGTGGCTGTATCGTTGAGCGGTATCTTGGTTGTCGAGGCTCGAGACTCAAAGAATGCACCAGAGGCCTCAACCGTGCCTGGTTCAGTGTCCCTAACAGCATACTTTTCAGTCATGATATCTGTGATGGTGCGCGATTTCTTCTTTGGTGCTTTGCCTTTTTCGGGTGAAGAGTCTCTTGAGTTAATTTGATTATTACGTATTTCCACGAGCTGTTAACTAGTCAGTGAACACATTTCATACAACACGGTTGCAGCTCATCTTACCTCAACTCGTCGCCGTTTTGTTGCTAATGTGCCCTCCATAGTTGAGTCAACCATTGCCTCTGTGGGTTGTACCAAAGGGGGTTGTGCATAGGCAAAGTTGGAAATCATGTTAGTGAAAGTACCGTCTGCACCCGGCACTAGCGCCTTGTTCTCTTTTCCAGTTGAGGCAGTGCATAGGGACGGAATAGTGCTGTCACGTGGCGGTGTCCAGTCCCGCCTCCGGAAAACCGCTTCCTCCAAGTCTAGCCCTTCTGTGACGGGACTCGGTACTCGTTGTTTGACTGCAGCACTCGTCTTCGGCTGTGAGCTCTCGGGTACATCCCATATCGAGGGATATTCGACAGGCGCATCATGTTCCTCTATGCGTGCTCTTGTGCCTAGTCTTGCCGGACTCTCGCGCTTTTGTGTGTTGTCCTGGAAATGCGCAGATACAGTCAATGCATCCTGCTGTTTCCCGCCCTTGACCCTTGTTCCAGCTGCCTTGGGTTTTGCAACTCTTGTCTGCTTTGGCTTAGGAACGGGCACTTCCCCGCCATCTCCGCCCTCGTTGGATACCTTCTTTGACCGTATCTTTCGCGGTTTGCCCGATTTTGTAAGTTTGGGCGCATTTGCTGCATCGCCCTGAGGTACTGGGGGATGTTCCGGTCCATGCCCATTGAAGAAATGAGATTTTGTGGGTTGGGGAGGAAGTCGTAGCTCATCTTCCGAGTCCGGGATTTCTCTGTCTGACTTGGGTTTTGGTTTGCGCGCTCGAGGCTTGGGTTTGGGCTTCTCAGACCCATCTGCAGCAGCAGTAGCTTTCTTTGTAGATCGCCTTTTAGGCTTCTCAGTAACTGTGGCAGGCGCTACGTCATCGGGCAATTCCCCGAGCGGCACTTCTTTTGCCTCGGCTCGCTCATTGTCGATTCCGGTTGTGAAATGCTCAGAGCGTACAAGGCTTGCTACGGTGGCGAAACCTCTCACAACGCCCTCGGGGATAGCGGCAGCTCTCGAATTGATCCTAGACGCGCCGATTGTCGTTTCGATCGGGCTCGCAGCAGGAGAGAAGGCTAGAGGCGAGGATGCGGGCATTGCGACGCGACGGGGGGCGGCTTTATACTGCGGGGAAGGGGCTGGTGGACTCGAGCTGAGCACGACGATATTGTAGGAATGGCCTACCATTCCAAGGCGTGGAAGGAGCCTTTGCGTAGCCACTTCGAAGTTGAGTGAGAGTACAAGCCATAAGCGCAGAGGTAGAGGTGGCGTAGGTGCAGTAGCGTATAAGTAGCTTTGGTGATTCTGAACAATGCACGGTCTACACTGTTCATTGAAGTTCGGCGCAACACCAAAGGGTCTATCACCACATTCCCTTGCCCCGCACCAACACAACATCAACCTCGAACCCCTGCGATTGTCTTGCACTTCTGTTTAGAGCATTAAGATTAATGTCATGTCTCTCATAGCTTCTTATTTTTCACACCTTTATCGCCTTCGACGCCAGCATGGCACCGCAGAAGTCTTCCAAGGTCCTCAAGCTGCAGTGTCCGCCTCTACTCGATGCCTCACCCCAGCATGGAGTAGATACCAAATGCAGAGTTTGAGAATGGCCTGTCTAGCCTCACCAGCAGGATGCCGAACACCATGAGCGACACCATGTGGGACATCATGTTGCGTTAGCGCGAGTCCTCGAAGTCTTGTGTTGCAGAGCCATCGCAGCACCCCCTTCTACCGCCCCACACTGATCTTTTTCGTCCCGCCTTCTACGTGCGTTTATCGCGTTAAGAGAGATGCACGGACACTCTTCATACTTTTAGTAAGTCTTCCTCAGTGTCTTCGGGAGCGTCGACTCCCCCTGCTACGCCTTCAGACTTGCTCTTCTCCGGTGGTACCCTACGACCACCTCATATGACAAGGCTGGAACACTGATACCAAGTGGCAATATGCATCCTGTTACTTCGGGCTCTTCTCACACGTACACCCTACTGCCTTCGTGCTCTCCTGTCGGCGTTTTGGGGCTGCAACCGATGCCTTTATCCTCACGTCCACTGAAGCATGCGACGGACAAGAGGCCTTTACCTGGACTGGTAACTCCAACCGGGATGCTCAAGCAGACGATACTCATCGCCGATGTATGGGCAACGGAAGAAATGTGTCTCATTCCCTCTGGTGAAGTACCACCTGCAGCAGTAGACAATGGCACATCAGCAGGTCGATACCGCGCACACAGCTCCCTTGTTACCGGCAAGGCGAAGACACCCTTGCGGGCCACTGGCATCGGACGCTGCATACAGGAGCCCATCAATAAAGACCCGGACTGCCGACAATCTTGATCGTTCACATTCGGATGACTCGAACAGACCAGGACACCAATACCGTACCCATACAGTTGGGAGATCGCGCACATTGGGTCGCCTCTATACATGTCGCCGTTGTATACCTTGCATGCCGCATCGAGCGCCTGGGCGGCCTCATGTGATATGCAAGGATCCACGGTACTTGTAGAAGATGCTACTCGTACGAAGGATCGCAGTGTGAAGGCTCATGAGTACCTTGGTCGAATACCGGTCTGGTAGAGATGCCAGAATATTCGTCTTCGTCGGCCTACTGGAAGGTTGCTGCATCCATCAACCCACCCGCACAGGGCAATCGATGCACAATGCGACATGCGCATACCGATGCCGAGCAATGCTCAATAGGCTTCAGTCGTATATGGACTCAGTAATGAGAGACTGAAGCGCTTCAACATACTGGAACGCTTCATCCACAACATCATGCAAGTTCGACTGTCGCAAAGTTAGCTCTGGCAATATAAGAGAAGGGAATTTGTACTTGGCACATCAGAGCCGGCTGTGTAGCGGACCATAGTGGACATACATCTTGCACCAAACATCGAGCCCGGTCGCAGCTTGCTGAAGCATTGGTATCGGCAGTCACCTTTCTCTGCTCTCATCAGATCTATCCATCTTCGACATCACGAACAAGAGAACACAGCAAGGTTATTGAAACTTTCATTTATCTGGACCAAAGTCAGCGGCATGCCTCAAGCATACATCCAAGGACATTAAATCACTGTCTTTGATTATTCTTCATCGCAAAGCAAAGCATATAACTCCTCCACTTCTCCCAATGCCAAGCATCCTCCACGGCGCAGTATGGCTTTCCTCATTCTATCTCAATCCTCTCACCGGCAATGTACCGTACTGCGGGCGAAGTCGCCTTGGATGTTCTGGATGTTGAACATCTTTCGGATTTCATCTGGGGACTTGCTCTTGCTTGCAGCTGTCTTGCAACCGACGTCGAGCAGTGCCTTGAGCCTAGAGCCCCCGGTGACTGAATCGAATTTGACGAAGACCTCGCCATCGCTGATGGTATCAACATCAGAATTGTACGACCTTGCCATATTTCCTTATCGCATTCAGCCCTGACTTCAACCTTGAGTTCCTTGAGCTCCATGCCATGTTCATTCGGCGACACCGTCGCAGCAATACTTGCGGTGGTCTTGATGTACAATATTGACACCAGTATGACGTGCGTGCTGCGACTTCCTCGACCTGCAAACGGCACGGAGGAAGGGTAGCAGCGCAGGGATGCCCGAGGGCGGCTGCGACAACTGGATGCGGCAACTGCCAACGCTCGAGCAGTAGTATTTCGCACATACTCATCTTGGTGGCCCAAATCTGGGCGCATCGTGCTGATCATATGTGCAAGGCCAGCGGCCTTTGCGAGATCTTTGATCTCCGTAACTTTGTACTTCGTTGATGCCGTGGCGCCAGAATGCAAATCGGTCATTCTTTGCATGTATGCGATCAAAAGTTCGTCCGCTTTCACCGGCATAATTGCCGCGTCCACCAACTCCACTGAAGACAGAGCCCTGGTACGACTGGGTCTGTGACCAGGACTCCTGTGAGAAGTTGCGGAGAAGGTCCGCTATTGACTCGGCTGTGAACCTCGTGCACCGCTAAAAGCAGAGCCTAGGTAGGAATAGGCCTGCTGTGAGAAGGTGCGTAAAAGATTAGCCGTCGATTCTGGTGTAAACTTGTCGTTGCCAAGTCCTACGCAGATCCAGGCTCGTACTCTGCTATTATATCCAAAGAAAAGCCGCCGTCTGCAGGGCTAGCTTCTTGTGGAAGTCTGGGAAAGCTTTATGATGGAGGGCCCACACAATGGCCTTCTTGTCCTTGATCTCTTCGATGTGCTGGAGGACGGAGTCCAATTTAACGCTCTTGATTTTCGCCTTCGTGACCCGGATGCGAAGGGAAAATTCTTGGAGTTGTTCCAGGTGTAGCTGGGGGATTTTCGTACTTCCAACTACACCTGGTGGATTTCCGTACTTCCAATGCACTCGATGAGCTCACAGCCCGTCTTGGTCCGGCCAGACTCCGCCAGTATCTGAAGGCGGTGAGTTGGGAGGCGAGATATGCGACGTTCATCGCTGCTGTTGCGGCAACGGTCGACCCACTCGCCTCTTCCGTTCCTTCATAATCCACTGTAGTTGAAGGTCGCGCGAACTCTGTTGTGGCGACGGTCGCCCGACTTCTCACGGTAGCGGTAGCGGTTGTAAATTTTGTCTTTGCACAGGGGCGCCCACCACCCCCCACGCCCCATGGCTTTGGAGCCGAGACGAACTACCAAAAACCTTGGAATCAACCACGTCCCATGTTCCCTATGGCCAGCCCCCGTAGGGGCCGTCTTGGACGCAGCGTCGAAGTCGAAAAACGCGAACGGAGGTTCGTTCTTAATTCTTGTGGTGGCTGACGCGTACGCCGATGGTGAGCAACGGAAGCGCAATACCGATAGCTGCGATGTAATGCATGATCGTTCCGTTGGTGTTTCCGAAGACAGACTTGCTGCTAGGTGCTGCTCTTGGGGAACCAGGACTAGTTCTCGCAGGGTGCCTACAAAGACTTGACAACATACAGCTTCGGAGCTGTTGGAAGTTTCGTTGGCCACCATCGCATGTCCATTGAACCCCTCATTGGTAGGACTCTCTGTCTTCAATGCATAATACGACCCGGTCTGAACCGGCTGAGACTAGTTTTACTAGTAGGTATCAGGAGAAGTCTGTTCTAGTAGCGACCCGGGCTGTACGTATCCTCAAATTCATCACTGAGGTGGCTTGTGGGTGAGCCGAGGCCCCTGGTAGACAGAACCTGAATCTGCTGGATCGTTGAAACGGTGGGAGCCGTCAGCAACACCAAAGGTGCGCTCAGGGGTACCAGCGTCGCGATGGGTAAGCAAAGCGCGCTCATGAGGAGCAGTCTTCATGAAACCACCCCTACCTCAACGAGGGCCGTTGGTATAGTCTGGTCAATAGGACGCCCCACCACGGCCGCGCCTTCTTGACGAGTCAGGTCAAACTTACCGTTTGTGTCGACAGTGGCAAGAACCTCGACGGCAACCGTGACTACGTGCGTGTTTCCGTGTGCTGCGCGGCGGTGAAAGAAGCGATGAGCTCTGCCTATGTCCTCTCGTGGTAGTGAAGCAATGGTTGTTCGTGCTGGGATGACCGGCCTCGTACAATTCTGTCGTAAATCTTTTCGTCGAGGCAGGTACCTCGCTGAGGAGATATCCTGAGGTTGCGGATCGGCACGGCCGACCCATGACCTTGAAGAGCGAGCTTCTTGTGGAAGTCCGGAAAGGCCTTTTGGCGCAACATCCAGTAAATGCCGGAGTCTGTCTGGATAACTTCTTACCGATTGCAAATTCCGTCTTCATGAGGCGACCTGGAACGCGGGCGCCCACCACCACTGTAAAAGTCATCGCGGTCGCGGGACTTGCTACGCTGGTGCCTATCACGGTCTTCGTCTGTGTCAGCACCTTTGCTCGGCGCTCGATGCTACCGTTGGCCTTTGAGGCACCGGAATCTGTTTCATGGTTGGGAGTGGTGGGGGTGCATACTATTAGCAACACTAGTCACTGTCTTGCCCCCACCCCCTCCCTTCGCCTAGGCGAATTGTTGTGCCGAAGCACATCTAGCTAGGTAGAAGCATTGTGCCAAAGCACATCCACCTAGACGAAGCGTTGTGCCGAAGCACATCCGCCTAGGCGGAACAAGGCGATCAACAACCGCCACGTCCATCAAAACGTCTTTGGCCGAAGCCAATGCCCAGTTTTTTTGGCCGAAGCCGACGCCCACGTCTTTGGCCGGAGCCTAATCTTCTGACTTGAGCTTCTTCTGACGCTCTGGAGGGGTAAAGATGTCGAAATGATCGAGGAATTGGAGGTAGCTGAGGCGGCGCTTGTCCCGTAGAATGTCGATGTTCGACACTGGGCCGAAGCCCACATCCGTACTCTGGTCAGCCGGAGCTGACACTGGGCCGAAGCCCACGTCCATACTTAGGTCAGCCGAAGCCGACGCTTGGCCGAAGCCACTTCTTTGGCCGAAGCCCATGTCTTTGGCCGAAGCAAACGATGGGACGGTTTTCGTGGATACCGGGTGCGCCTTTGATGGGCTGGACGAAGAGATCCTTCCATGATCTTGTGAGCTTGGACGTTCGTGACGAAGCGGATCCGCCTAGGCGGAATAAGGCGTTTTGATCGTTCCGGATAAACAATCGACGAGCAGGTATGCTACTCTAAGGTGCTGCAATCTCTTTCCTTGCTGGCGTAGCTCTCGGTGTGGCACCATCCAGTCCCAAGGACCTGTTTGCGCCGTTAACGGCAGTTTCGTACCGCGAGTTGGCGGCGTTTGCCTTGGCCGGGGATGCAGCATCTCACCCGCCGAAGCGGAGACTGTAAACGTACAGTTTTTCTGGCTTTGTCCTAACCCATATGGCCTGTGACTGAATCGCAGTAGGCTTTTCATACAGTACTTGCGTAAAGACATCCACAGTCGCTTGAAGCAGGCCCATCTGGGCCCACTTTGTTACAGGCCGGGGAACGTTATCAGGATTTACCTTGATGCCGTCCAATTCGAAACGGAGCCAGCGGAAATCTTGGGTTCCATCTGAGAGATTTCCGCTGGCTCAGTGTAAAAGTTCTTTCGGAACGGCTCATCCTCAGAGATCCATGCTGTACAGACGAAAAGGTGGCTACTATGGCAAACTGGCAGTATATATCCGCCAGAAGTTCATGATGGGAGGGGAGTTGATGACGAGCGAAGTTCTCCGAAGGTGGGGTAGTCCTGCCAGCCATGGCTCAGAAGACTGGGCAACCTGGATGTCTGCTTTGTGGATATGTCAGTCTAGTCATCTTCATGGAACATGAGGAAGACTTACGAACATTGTATGATGAACTTGATATGATCAAGTTTTGGTCGACAACGAAGGGCACTGAAGGCGGGGTAGCCTTCGGCATGATTACTTTGTCGACTAGGTTGAAAAGACTGCGACGGAGTTGATCAGTGACCATGGCGAATATTTCCCTGCGTCGGTTTCTGGTTTCCAAGGTCATTCCATTGGGTCTTTGTCAGGCAGGCGGGGTAGTATTCACTGTGTTGCCCGGGAAGTCGACGAAAAAAAATCTGCAAACCGGCCGCGATCGACGGAGGATGTTGACACCGCGACCCCAGGAGCCACCGGGGTATCGAAGGTCTTAGTGCGAAGGTCTTCTTGAAGTCAAGTGGTGTGCGGGGTCATGATCATCTGTGAAGGTGAAGGTGTTAGCACAATTTACTTGTCTTCAGTGGAGGTGGACTCTGCGACGACGCAGCTGCAAGTAGCTGAGGATAGCAAGGTGCCAACATTTGAAGGCCCCCTTCAGGTATCTCGCTGCCGACACGAGTGTGGGGATGCGAGAAGCTCAGGTGTAACTCCAGACGGTCTGCAAGCTCTTACGCCACCGAAGGCAACTGCCAGCAACGGGAAGGAGTTTCAGTACATACCTTGAGTGTGTCGACCACCGCAAAAGATCCTCAAGCTCCTCGACGGTACGCTTCTTACCTTGAAGCTCTGGAGAAGCGGGGGTGTCGTCTCAGACTTGCTGCCTCGTGTGCGGCGAAAGCTAGGTACATAGCATTGCAAGAAGCAGTAAGGAGTAGCAACAAGCTATCGCCCATGAGAAAGAGAGAAGCAAGAAGCTCATGTTGGCTATGGTGGTGGGAGAAGATTGTGGTGTCGTGGGTTGTTGGGTGGGATGAGGATGGCGAAGAAGAATTACTTTCAAAGCTAACTCACCAACCTCGTCTGCGCACAGGCCCACACCAACTGAGAGAGCGTCTTGGGCCTGGAACCCCCGCGGTGAATGTGAGAAGGAATTCTTGAGCGTGGCTGCTTGTGGAATTGGTGTCTGTGGCAAGAAGTGAGGATGGCGCTCAGGCGAAATGTGCAGTGTTTGTTGCATATTGGTCTTTGGCAGTCTCCTTGACCAAGCTGCTGCAGCAGAGGCCACGGAAGTAAGGAGGCCACCACAGCTGCAAAATTGCCATTGGCTCAAAATCTCGCCTAGCCGGCTATGGGGGGCTGTCAAGGATCACTGCCGCTATGATGGGTTTCTCTGGAAAGGGTGCAGCAAGTCGCTCAGGCTCATCAGGAGGGCTCTGAGATGTTTGCCGCATGTTTGCTCTTGGCCATCCCCTTGTCGAAACTACTGTGGCTCCACAGGCGGCTGCAGTAGAGTCTCAGGACATCCTTAAGTGAGACGAAAGGCTCAGTAAAGGAGGTAGTCCCAAGTATCGGTGGTTTGCAGGCACAAAATCCATGGCTGCATCTGCATGCTGGCAAGGGACGAGATGTGACCATCCCAAGCTATCTCCTTGTGCCGGCAATTTGCACAACATGATCTGGTTGATATGCGCACAAACTGCTGCATCTACACAAGCGGCGGCACTGAGGTCTCAGAACATGGTCAAGTCAGGCGGGAGCTTGAGTAAAGGTGTACAATCCCAAGTGCCGGCAGCTTGTAGGCACAAGATTCATAGCTCACAAGTCTGGCTACGTCTGCAGGTCGAGAAAGAAGAACTGGCCATCCCGACTTGCCCCATTCTCTCGCCAGCAAGCTTACACAGCGAGATCTGGCAGACATGTCCGCGAAATTCCACTGCAACTGCACAAACGGCAGAGTTGAGACCTCAGGGGCCTTGCATGCAAAAGCCATCTAAGTAAAGGCAGACCACTGCAGATGCTGACTGCGCGGGAGTGCCTATCCCAAGTTGCTTGCTTCTGCGCCAGCAGATATGCACCCCACGATCTACCCGCTACTGCAGAGACGGTGGCGGTGACGTCTCAGGGGCAATTCAAGTGATGCAGGGCCTTACAAAGACGAAAAGCGTTATGTAACAGCATCTTATGGCTACAACCTTCACAGTATGCAGATCTGCAGCATTGATTTGGGTGGCCGCATGCTTAAGGCAGAGGGACGGCCATCCAAGCCAACTACTCGTGCCTCGGCAGATCTGCAACACGAAAGATCCGTGTAGAAAGCGCCGGCAAGCTGGCCTCAGGTGCATGCGAACTATGAGGTGGACTTCTCAGTAAAAGTAAATTGCAGCAGAGGTCGAGAGCTTGTGACCATAGCCTTTATGTTCTGCAAGTTTGGCCTAGGTGGCTGCATGCTGGGCGCAAAAATGGTCAAGCTAAGCCAGCTACTTCCGCGCCTCGGCAGATGTCCAAAACGGCAAACCTGCGAGGTAGAGAACAGTATTAGGCTCTTCTCAGGGGCAGTCCAAGTACAGCAGAAGTCCCAGTAGAAGTGTATTTCTCTAGACGCTATTAGCCTGTGGCCACAGCCTCTATGGTCCGCAACTCTCCAGGGCTGGCTTGGGCGTCTGCATGCTAGCTACTCCTCATCTCAGCAGGCACGCACGCAAAGACCTGTGTTTAGAGTGCTAGTAAGCTCCTCTCAGGGGGCTGTTTGCAGTAATGCGAGTGCCTCAGTGAACCTATATGGCAGCTGGTAGCCATAGACTTTCTGGTCTGCAGGCTTTGTAGGCTAGGGAATGCAGAAGCAGCCATCTCAAGCCATGTCCTCCTTGCGGCAGTAGACGTGCAACAAATAACTGCATAGAGAGCAGCGCCAATGAGCTCACAGCATTGTACTTGAACATACGGCTCTGGAAGCATGCCAAAGTTTCAAAATCAGACTTGCTGTGTTTGCTCAGGTGCCTGCTTTCAGTTCCTCGCTCTGGCAGAACAACAGCACACAAGCCGTGTGGAAAGTGCCAGTGAGCTCGCCACGTCTTGCAATAGATGATACACCACGAGATATGAGAATACCAGTACATCACGCTGAATATTGCACTCCCCGAGAGCCCAGACGTCTGCTTGACCCTTTTCAGCCCCTTAAGCATGCTCAGGTGTCTTGAGGCGCGTCAGCATGCACATGAAAGACCATGGAAAGCATAGAGAGCCGGATCAAGATTGGAATGTGATACTCGCAGATATCCTCGAAGAGATAGCACAACAGCACGATTCGTCTGACATGACTTCTGCTTTGAAAGCATGGTGAGCATGCTGTGAGACGAAACTATCTACGACAACGACTACAATTTCGTCTGTAATATTTCTAACCGCTTCTGTGGAAACGGAATGAAATCCGAATTACAACATAACACATGAACGACTCCTGAGACGATACACTCCTATCTGTATAGAGCAAACTTCCCTGAGACCAAGTTTGTCACTGTCAAAGATGCCCCCTTTGTCCGCAGGCTTTGTCATTTGGGAAATATGGCGGAGAACGACGACAAGATGGCGGTAGCGAGGAGATGGCTAGACGTCGATCTGTAGCATTTTTGACATATCTGGCATGTTGTGGCATGTTGTCAGTGACACGGGTATTAACTAGTTGACATCTATGACACCACTGACATCTTAACGACAAAGTAATATGCTAAGAAACATTATAACACAGCCAGAAATCTTCTTAGAACAATGTAAGAACCTTGGTGCTGAGAAGGTAGGCAACTAATAAACAGCTATACTTTACGGTAATTTCAGAAATTATTAGTGTTAAACTTCCGGCATAAACTGGACATTACATTATACCTCCTACGCCGGCAACACCTTCCAAAATTATCCCTGAGATTTCGAAGACCATATCTATATGTCCAAGAGTACTGTCTCCGAGGCTGTCGATCAGACAGTCATATCGTTCTTAATCTCCACTGACCTCCAGCATGGCTGAAAGAAGGCGTATAAACTTGAAAGGGCAGGGTCTGATTCATGCTATTTCGTAGAAGAACAGGTAGGTTCTGCGATGCCTATTGCTACCATGTGCGCTTTCCTCCTATCCAATATCTCTGCCCGCGGTCCGTATTCATTATCCTTCAACGACTTTACTCTTGGCCATGCCGCACGTCCCCTTGCCCCCGGAATTCCTCCAGCATCATCCTTTGTAACAGGCCAGCCGTCTATGGCCCTGTGCTTCCTGCCTTTCTCACGGCATCATCCGCTCTCTTCTTGTATCCTTCGTGAGGCCGGTCGCCTATGGCGCTGTGTATTCTATCTTTCTCACAGCACCGTCTTCCTCCTTTTCTACAAATTTCTTTTTATATCCCCTGCGAGGCCGGTCGTCTATGGCGCCGTGTATTCAGTCGTTCCCAACCCTCTCTCCAACCCAGCACCGGTATCCTCCTATCCCTCCTCTACACCTCCTATCCTGCCCCATCCCTAGTACTCCTTCTTATCTTTATTCTCATCATCACATCCAAAAACCACATACTATCCCAATCCCAAACCTCTATCCATCCAAACCCCATCTTTCCAACCTTCCAGCCCACCTTCAAACTCCCCTCCCTACCCCAAACTCCATCACTCTCTCACAGTAATGTCCCAACCCCCCTCCAAACTCATAAAGCCGAAAAGTGTTCAGATCCACACCTCACAACCCTTGAGCAGACCCTAGCACGAGGGGTCTGCTAGCTCTAACAGCCACACACACCCTTCCACTCCTTCTTTCGGGAAGGAGCCAGGAACGTTTTTGTTGTTGTGTGCTGAGGGCGGGGTGGTTTGGCTATGCTGGGTCCGCGCTGTGTATGGCTTAGAGTTTTGTGGGCTGGGGGTGGCGGGTCGAGAGGTGCACGGGGCGAAGGTCGCGAGACGGAGGATGAGGGAGGAATAGGGGCGCGGGAGGAAACGGCGAGAGTGTGAGCGGGGTGGGAGGGACGAAGAGGTGGTGTGGCGGTCTGGGTTGTGTTAGTTTGGGATGCTCTTTCTGTTTCCTGGTCTGCTTGTCTGATGGCTTGCTTGCGGGTTGCATCCTCTCTCCTGGTTCCCAGCTCTCTACAGCACCTTCTTCCCCTTTCCCTGTTGTCCTAGCACCTCCTTACATTGTTCGCGTTGTCCCCGCACCTCCTTCCCTTGTTCCCGTTGTCCAAGCACTTGTTCAGAATCGCCCCTCTCGTCTAAGCGTTGCTCTCCCTCCGCCTCTCATTATTTGTTACTTTTCCGTTGTCCCTCGCTATGTATGCTCCGATATTTTTGCTTTATGTTCTTTCTCCATGAACCCATGTCTCGTGTATACCAGTCACTAACCAGATGTCCAGCCGCGTTCTTGTCGTTCGATTCGACGCCATCGGGGCAGGAAGGGACTAATCGTAGGTGATATGCAGTTCTCGTAGACATACTCGGTGTGCTCGTATTGAATTCGTTGGTCTATGAATTTGGGAATGAGCCTGTAGTTCGTTCAAGGTTGCAGAAACTCAGACTCCTTGGTCTTCGTCCGGATAAGACTTTGAGCGCTGCGACAGACCTGGCCAGTCCCGCCTTGACCCTTTCCTGTGATCCCCAGAAACCTTACATTGTCTCCTTCCGGGCGAGGTTTCGCTATGACGACTATGATGTTGATGTTTGTGATTCCTGGTCATGTGGTCCGAATCGCTGCCCGATGCACTGGCCGGTGCGGCTGTCCGATGAGAGCCCATCATCTTTAAGAAAGTGACGCATTCGCTTACATGCTTTTGAGAGGTGTAAAGCCGGATCGTAAGTCAGATGTAGGTGCAGTAGTCTCATCCCTCGTCTACACTCTTTGGTGTCTTGCCTGCATCTCGCAACTGTTCAGCGAAACATATCAAAGAGAGCACGAGTAGTCTTCAGCGAGAATACAGATATAGTCTGGATACTGCTGAATCTCACCATGCAGTTTATGGGCCCATAGCTGGTGTCGTTCGTCCGATGATGCCCAAAGTCTTCCTGGTGGTTTGCGCGACTGTGCCTCTCCTCTGCAACAGTGTCTGCAACTGACGATTCTGAGTGCAATTATAGGTTTTCGATGATGCTCTTGAACTTGGCACTTGGCTTTGTCGCATTGGTGTTGTTGTTGTAACGGGCTGAGCCCGAGGTCACATGACTAGGCTGCTGGCCTAGTCGCTTCCTTCCCTCGGCAGCGGTCCCTCACCTTGCCTCAGCAGCGCGTGGACCGGGCGCAAATACAAACAACAAGAGATGGCAACTACCTTCTCTCTTTCTCTTTATCTCGACTGTAAATAGCTTCTGGATTAGGTAGCTGGAATACAGTACCTACAGACCGTTCACAGTTGTTCGTTGGCAATCCGCCCGTTCCTTTATGGCCAGTTGCGCGACGCTTTGTATCATCAACGACGGGGTCTGTAGTTGACAAATTCATACTCCATGCTGGTCTTGTAGATGCGTAGAGTGATTTGGTATGGTTCTTTGACGTTCTTGTGCCGTTGCATATAGGATATGTGCCTGCCTCCGTAGAGTTGACTTGCGCGACGGCGTGTAGATCGGCAACACAATGTCCCAGCCACAATTCGATGCGCGCAATCGATTTTTAGGGTTATGAAGTACCATTCTAATGCCACATCTGTCGGTATGATGGCCTGTATTGCTGAGATTTTGTGTCTCCCCTAAATGCAGTTTACGCGGCGACAAACGACCATCCGCACAACCCACGCAACGAGTATTACGCGTTGCCTTCTGAGCATGTCCACTCTTCTGACCAATTTGAATTTGAGAGTTGTTTAAGATAGTGCATCGTTGTTATGATGCTCTCATGAGGCCTTGAATTCAGCTTCCTCGCAGTGGCTCTTTCTCTGAACAGCGGATAAAGAAGAGGTAATGTGGGCAGAGAGGACACCCATGTAAATTATATTGTTATATCCCATGGCAGCACTGAAATATCGAAGGCTGTGAGCGCTATGGTCATTGTAAACCTGATCCAAGCGCATTCGTGTACTATTCGCCGGGGAAAAACTAGCGCGCGAGCAGCTACGAAGCGTGAGGGTTATAGAATAAGTGAGCTGAGTATAGATCGAGAAGGATACACAGAACTAGTGCCATTGAGAACATATGGTGTCTGTGGTTGTTGGCGACTGCGCGAGTTGTATGAGTTGGTGATCGGACGCTCACTAGCGAATATGTGGCGTTCGACTAGAGTAGTCCACCAAAATGCCAGCCAGAGTATAAACTAAAGAACTCAACGAACATAGTTATCTCCCAAAGCGGAGAATATGTACAAACGTCTTACAATGCAGATTACACGCCGTTGTTATCATTGTAAATTGTATGGATGAGCGAATTGCCTACTGCCTTCCCTATGGATGTCTTTGCTCGAGAAATATGAATTGAGCGCACACTGCAGTACCCGGAACAACAGTGAATGTTTGAGTTTCGAACGGACTTGATTACGGGCTATAATCAAGAGGTCTAGTTCTAAAAGGGACACTGAAAAGGCATCTAGTTAGCCCTTAAGAGTAGTGACGTATGTTGAATGTAAATGTGAGTAAGAACTCCCCTTCACCACAGCATTTCTATTAGGGCTTCGGAGTCATATCAGTTAGAGACATCTATTGTTTTCCTAAAGCCGTCATTCTAGTTCAGCCATTGTAGACGTAGATTGGGCCCCGATTATATCCTTTACATACTGCACTGGATCTCTTGATTCTTGATCTATATTACCTCAATTACTACTATACCATATACTATCCCTCTTTAATTATATATCTTCAAACATGGATTCCTGCTTTTCCAGAAAGATGATAACAGGGTTTGAATCGGGACGTCGATGCCGCGTGTGTGCGAAGCAAGTCCTAGGAACACACCTCGACCAAGAAGGTTTCTGCGAGATGCACGGTCAAGGAGATTACAATTTTGAGGAATAGTTGGGGGACTACTGTGTCGAATTCCAAGAAGATCTTATCACAATGCTCCTGTGCCAATACGGAGAACCTCAAGTTCCAGAACGATGGCCACATGCCAAGGAAAAGTTGACTGTCAAGAAACTAGCCCGGAGAACAACGATAACTCGCGAAAAATGCGAGGTGGCTCTTATTCTCCTCTTGGACCGGATTAAGCGGCTTGCAAAGCAGCCTGAGATCTTTACTATTGCCGAGGTGAAATTTTGGAGCGAACAACATAGAGTCACCCACTGCGCCTGGTTGATCGCATCACAGGACCGGCAAGGCTTCTTCTTTGACCCCACAGGAGTCCAGTTCGGGGCAGACTGGGGCCTTCTTACTCCATGGGAAACGTAAGTTCAGAAAAACGGCATAATGAAAGAAGATGGACAGCATCATTTGACCGACTTGCGGTGGTACTCATTAGGGTCGAACAAAGACTCTGTGAGCGCGGAGGAGAATGCGAGAAGGTAAGACGTTCGCTCCTAGCGGGCATGCAGATATTCCTCGCCTTCCACCTTTCAAAGTCGTTCAGAATTGTCTCTGTGTCTTCTTCTGGGGGTGGAAATCAGGTCTATCGCCTGTCTGGGAGTACGACCGAGAGGAGGGCCCCCGTGACGTAGGGTCGGTTGCTCACCAGTTGGATTCATTCAACTGGCGCTAAGAGCCCTCACCTGCTCCAGCAGCTTTGCAATGCGCTTGTAGAGTAGGAAACTAGCATCGCGATTAGCTTCTGCTTTGAGCAAATCACCTCACGCGCGCTTGAACTCGAATCTGAACGCCAAACATTGCACACACTCGATATCCAAGCCCCACCAGCTCTACGCATTATTCTCACGCACTATCACAATCTCGTTTCAATGACACCCATACTCCTACAATAGACAGGCGAAAACAGAAATACACGCCCGTCTAAAGGCTTGCGTGTTCGAAACAAGTACCTCTCTCCCGGTAGAACCACCATACCTTCGCCCCCAACGCATCTGCAACAACACACGAGCTCCCGTCGTATAGCCAACACAACCCAGCAATACTAGAAGAGATGATGCTGGTGTTGGTTACTGGAAAACAACGACGCGACATTGGAAAGCCGATGTTCTGAGTCGGACCGAAGCGTAATCGGAGGACGCCTGCCGCCCCCATCTTCGGTGGGGCCGCCAGCACGAATGTCGCAGGGGATGCGCTAAGATCGACATACAATGGGAACATCCACCTCGTGTTGTGCGCGGGGCCAGGGCATCTATGGGATGATATCTGGAGTCTTTGGGTATGCGCGCTCAGCTTGTTTCGCCAATCTCATTATTCCGGCCAACCCTGAATATTTTCGAACTCGATTTTTTTCAGGACGCAACTGAACGAATTCAGGCCATATCGCCGACGCATATCCTACGCTACCGGCCTGCAATGGCAGCTACCGAGCATACACATGCACACTTTGCAGCAATTTTGGGGATTCTTGGACAGATACAGGGTGCTGGAAGCATAGGTCGGCGCAGCGGCTTGAAGACTGGGAGACACAAATTGCGCGATTGGTGGATGACCCAGGCATTCTCGTCAAAGATGGCCACTCCGGAGGCTTTAATTGTATCTGAAATTGTGACGAGAGAGGTTTCATGGTCCGGGACACTCTTGTTTTGAACCGGTTAGACAACATGACCACGGGGCAATAGTGATGACTCGAGGCTATGGTAGTGGCAGAGTTTCCTGGCAGCAAGTAGAGTCAAGTAGTCGATGTAAATACCAATTTCTTTACAAAGCAAGACTTCTGAACGCAGTGGAGATGCTCAACTTCAGTATGACTGCTGCCTTGGTCACCGGATCTTCTGCTGGTGCAAGCTTGGTCGGTGATCAAGACACTGTATCATGCGTTTCCTTTGTGATTCCTGTGCGATGTAACCTTCTTAGGTGCACCTGCATCCGGTGGTATGCGAGTGACAGATCTATGTGATTAAAGACAGTAAAGACAATGGTGAAACATTCATGGCAGTGCGTTGCAGGAGGCAGAGATGTCAAGCAGTACTTGGAGCAGACACAATGTGATTGTTGCATGTAACTATGTAGCCATTTGGATTAGAGCATAGCCATAGTGCTAAGCTCTTTATCCATAAGCACTTTGATCTAGGTCGTATGATCGGACATGCCGGCAATGAAGAGCCGCAATCCAGCAACATGATCGTCGACCAGGTGTTAACTACAGAAACGCAAACCCAGGTACCCTCAAGCTACCTTCCCACCATATCCTGTCCATCCTCCACCCAGTTGCCATCCCAGATTGCCAGTGTATTCCGTCCACCGTCCACCCAGTTGCCAACCCAGAATTCCTGCGTGTGTTACTAATGAACAAAATGATTGCGAACGAGTAAAAACAAATCAAGCTTTGCTTGTTAGACACGTCAGAGTAGTGCTCAGTATTTTATCGTCACGCTAGGACACCCATATGTGCCGGCGCCAAAAATGACGAACAGCGGCGATGGGGTCTTCCAGCTACGCGTTGAAAACCGTTTTCTCATCTTGGTGTATTGCCGCTCCACTGTGCTTGTCTGAAAGACAAGTATGTAACTTAGCTTTGTTTTGGAGATGATGCTGGCAATTGAAGCTGGTGGCAGGCGCTGGTGACAGCGTGCTGTCAAGCCGGGTGTCGAAGTCTTGGGAGAACCTTCAGCGCGTTGCTAATGGATAGAGAGAGGGTACACGCTGACCTTTGCGATATTGGTGGTGTGGTGAAGTGTCGTGAACAATTGAGGGAGTTCATGGTCAGCAGACTCCGCAACAATCAATCGATTGACATGATTGATTCCTATATAGGTTAAAGAATTACTTCATTAGGCAGCCTTTAACCTAGATAGGAATCAATCATGCCGATCCGATTGATTGTTGCGGAGTCTGATGGTCAGCTGTAGCTTCTTCCATAAGGCGAGGTAATTTGGGAAGAAGCTGTATTGTAGGTGACCGTATGTGGGGCCCGTGTACCCGCTACGCGTACTAGCGTTCAAAACATGTCAGTGTGCTAGCCTTCACAGCCTGTCCGCATGCTAGCCTTTACAACCATCCTCACCTAATACACGTCTCTTCTTGAAATCCCAAATCCAATGTACGTAACTACTAGTCTCTGTTGAACAGGATATGAGCAATAACTAACACAAAGCTGCGAAAGCACAGTCATGAGTCTTCGAAGCCGGAACCGTAGGAACAAGCAACGTCTCCTCCAACGCCAAACAGCCACGCAAAGTGCTATGGAACAAGCCGCAGCACGCTCTGAACAAATCTTGGACGCGTTGAGAGACTCTCCCCAGGAGAAATCTCTCCTAATCAGGGTCCGCGTGGCGGCACTCCGCATAGAGCGACGCCTCGCCAGAACATGAAACCGGTGAAATCTCAGCAAGCAAGCACGCCTCCGGGCTTGCTCTTCAGAATCAACAGCCGTGAGTCCTTCTTCTCCCTAATCAAGATGTTTGGAATGCATCCTTACATTTTCTATAGAGTTGGGACAAGCTCCGCGTGAAGCATACATAGGAAAATTGGGGGAAGATGAAGAGGTGGAAGGGAGAGTAAGAGGGGATTTGGTAGTAGACACGAGCCGTTGCGGCAATGAATTTTCCTATGTATCCTCCTCATGCCTCTATGTCCCCTTGCCAAACAGTGATCCCTAAGTCTATCCTCTGCAACACACAGTATTCCTCACTAGGCAACCATTTGCTACCACCTTGTATGCTTCCGGGGCGTTGTTGCTTGCCCTGTACCGTATGATCTAGCACTTCGGTCTCCAGCCTATGTAATGGCTAAGTTTGTAGGCCTAAGGGAGTGACTTGAAGGTTTCCTTTTCGATGTACATCCTGAATGGAGACAGGAGGAAGAGCCTTCAAGAACTCAGCAAGTGCCATCCACAAATGCTGTAAACAACAGATGATATATTCCAAGCGCGAGAAGACGTACCGAGTATCAGTGGGTGTGGATACATTTCCTTGCCCCGTTACCACATAGAGCAAAAGCACAAGCTATCAAAGAGCTAGACAGGAAGCTCATATTCGTATGTCTGAAGCAAGGGCGCGGACACTACAAGTGTCTCACATGTGCCTGTATGTGCTAGCTTGATATGGCATGAAAGCCAGCCCAAACCCGGTATTGCTCCGCTCACCTCTGGGAGCCGCAGTTCTCCCGAAGAATACCCATGCCGACCCGTCAGAACAACATAGTCAGGTCACGTGTAGGCCTAGCGTGCCAAGCTATTGGGGAGCATATAACCCCTTCCCACTACTTCCCCTCCTTCTCTTTTTTCCTCCAGCAGTCTGCTGATTTATCTCTTTGAGGGATTTAATAGAGTCATCTCGCATTGGCTGATAGAAATATCACCCGACAAAACATTTTTGCAACTAGGCGATCAGTCACTGGGCTTGCTCATACTTATTGCCACAGTGTCACTGGTATTGCACCATCTCCAGTTGACGTGACTTTTTCATTGACTCTTCTCGCTTGCGAGTTGCTTGAGGAAGGAGATCCTTTCTGTTTTGGCTGTTTGTTTAGGCTGGTAGTTCTCCTCGATCGCAAATTTGCTGCATCGATGTAACCATTTGAAGACTTTTGGATGCTGTAGTTCTGGGAATGGTGCCTCAGGTCAACTGTACTATGCTGTTTGTTTAGTCATATTGCCGTCACAACAGGTCACTCGGTCGTATCTCCCGAAATAGGACCATGGCAGCACCTACCTACGGCACTTTGGTAGATGAGACCTCCGCATTGCAAGCCTACCAACAACTGTCTACCACACGCGCGCAATCTGGTAGAGTTGATCAAATTTGGATATCCAGGCTGTGTTAGAATGGCAGGGTGTAGGATGAGAAGACGCAGAAGCTTGACGTAAGGACTTAGGTCAGTTGAGAGGCTCCTCGCGCCTTGGTATATGCAATACCAATGTTATCAAGGTTCTGAAATAATCTCTATCTTGAGTTTATGGTGTGATCTGGATGCTGGGTATGGCAGCCATCAATGCAAAGTCTGTGGATTAGGCTTTCGAGCTGTATTGCCAAGGCTGTTGAAGGCGCGATGGTTATAAGTGGCTTGTGCACCTGCTACCGCGAGCAACTCTGCCCATCAATGGCTTGTAACGCAAAGTCCGCATTGCTTAGAGATTAGAAATTTCTGGATGCCGAAAAGCCGCCATCACTTCTACATTTTCAAGGTTACTGTAAGAATTATAGTGAGTGTTGTGATCGATGCGTCAGGTACCTAGGTAGGCAAGCTGAACCTCGGGACTGCACAGAACCAACCAAATCTTGGATGATAGAATTTCGTGCAATGAAGCATTTTGAAAATTTTTGGCTCCATTTGGATAGCCTGTATGCACTCAGATCAGAGGCAGGCCGCGGTGTGTAAAAAGCCGTAAAGCCAGCTGCACGGCTTCCAGGATCACAACACACTCCAATTTCAGGCAGTTTCTTCTTCAGATCCTCCTGTAAGACTCAAAGAGCTCTAGCAATACATCTTATACACCTGTAACTCAAGACATGAGCACTTGTCCTGGTTCCTCTTGCACGGCGATATTGCGCGTGCAGTCTTGCGCTTCACTTTCAAGGGCGCGCCACTGTCACCGTTACCGTCACTATCAACAAACATCTTTGTCGACGCGTCGGTCTCGCTTAGCCCAACAGATTTCCTTCTCTAATATCATTGCCTCTACTCTCCCCAACCTGCACCAACCACACCCAATTGTCAATGCCTACAACGCCAAATGCCTTCCTTCCTGTCCGCTACCTCAATCTTTATTCTCTTTCCTCCAACAGTAGTTCCAAGTCGCCTTTCACGGTTGTCTCGTGCTTTGCCCACAGAGTCTACGCTTCAGTGACAGCACAACCCACGACAGTGGCAGTCACCGCTATGTCCATTCGACTCCACCCATTCGTAAGTATCCTACGGTCTTTTCAATCATTTATTAAGAAGATTGAACGGAGTCTAACACTTCAGAAAAGGCTTTCGCTGCAACAGATACCCCGCGTACCTACGCGGACCGCAAAATCGACAGATGGCCGCTCACAATGGCCCCGCATGCTGCAATTTGTTACACGCAAGCGCCATACTCCAAGCAAGTATCTCTTTCCTACACGTCCTTCCCACTCGTGGCAGTGGGCTATCTATGTCACTCTGGTAGCCGCACTGGCAGATGATTTCTTCGGAAACCTCGCAAAGTGGAACACGGTTACCTTGATAGCCTCTGGGTAGTTGCTTTGCCAGAACCGTGTCGAAGACACTGAGCATCAATGGCACGAAGATTGCGTCTATACTGCCAATGGAGACAGCCGCTAACTGTTGTGAGTCAGGATTCGCGATCGTCGCGATGGTCTAGCTTTTCGAGTCCACCGTAAAAACACTTTTCGTCAAGCAACACGACACCCATTAGCGACCGGAAGCCAGTCGACACACAAGACCGCCAACTAGAGTCCCTTCAACAACTCTATGTCGCCTATGCCGTCACCTTCTGCCGAAGAAGGTTTCGTCACACAAACCAAAGCTAAGTCTCCCTTCCTGTACATTCTTGACCACAATGGCTATGATGAAGGCCTTCTTCCTCCCTAACGCCATCATGTTAGTCAGAGATATCGATGTGCTATGAGGCTTCCATGTAGTTTTCAGCTCTGAGCCAACCCCGTCGCCACGTATCCTTTCACATCCAAGAACAGGCTGACACCACAGACAAGCATTTTGAAGAGTATCATCGGATCATTCGTAGCGAACACGCCCGCACGACCTCCGCTGTTTCAGCCTTCCGACAACTTGCATTCTTGGGATGCTAAGTTACAGCTTCCGCCTTATTCTCACAAGTCCAAGTCTCCCCGTTTTCTATTTCCTCTCCACGAAGATGATGAGAACCCTGGTATTCGTTTCATCTGCTTCTCGAAACCCGCCAAGCAACCGCATTGAGGGTAAAACCAAGATAGCTGGTTCAAGGACGACTGTTAAATGCCAATCTTCTCTGAGTCTTGCGTGCTTCAAAGACGTTGTCATACCTAGCCTTCACAGAAATTTGCTGAGTACTTCCTGGCAGAAAAAGCGAGTCAGATCAAAAGAACCAGTTCTGCGCTTGCAGAAGACACTACCATCATTGCCATCTCTGCCCGCAGGAGTCATCGAGTACCAAGAACCAGCTACAACTACAACATCCCCGACGTTCATGAGCTACCACGACCCAAACGATACAGCGGCTCACCCATGGCACCCCGTCCTTGCAAACTCAGGTAAGTGCACTTTCTTTCTCTTCCGACAGCCTTCGTGATGATCATTCCATATTCATTCCAAACAGACTTCACATTTGACGAATCTTTGGTTCTGACGGGCTGCTGTCTTATTCCTTACTTCTCTCCACGTTTCAACCAAGCAACACTGAAATTCTATGGCTTGTTTAGTTCTAGCAATCCCGCCTTCCAATCGAAATTTTCACCACCTGGCATCTTCCACTCGCCAATATCAACGGAAGCGCTTCAAGTCAGCCGAACAAGTTAACACGAGGCCCGTGACGCCCCAAAAGACATTCATGCTTGGAGTCTCAGTCAAGCAACGGACGAGAAAAAGTATGTACCTATTCCTCTTTGTCACCCCTGGCAGTGATGAGATCTCGGTCGAGACAAGCATCACTGATTCTTCGTCTACAACCTATCCACAACCTCGTCATCCTTCTGATATTTGCCTTCTTGTTCCTCCTTGTCCTCTCTTCTACTGTCTTTCAACCATGCTAACTTGAAATATCATCTCCCAGTTCCCGCATTCTCGTCGTTATCCTCCCTCCCTCCGCTCCCTCGCGACCGTCCGAACAATACGAACACTGCCTGCGAGCAGACCATACAAGAAAGAGTTGGACAGCCAGAGCATTGAATACCTATTCTTGCATTGGTCGTAGACCTCGCGGAGGCTTCTACACCACCACGACGTAGGCATGCAGCTTTTGCCTCTCCAACGGCGCTGCTGTGTGCCGAGCACATCCAGCTTATCTGAGATCGTGGCTCATCGACGTCGAAGATTAAACAAGCGACTCAGAAGACCGTCAGGACTATACTAGTCCCAAGTAACGGCACTGGGCGTGCTCTAGGTTGGTAAGAGTTCCTAATACCTCTGGTATTCGAGTAGACTAGTGTCTAGGCTCATTGACCTCAGAGCGGACATCACACAAGCTTATGTGGCTCCGGGTACCAGGTAAGTTGTCACTCTTCCTCAATTTTCTCGCGGAGCCTTGCTAACATCGCATAAGGCAACCGACAACTCTTCATCGTCTCTTCCGCGAGAGGAAGGGGGGAACCAACGTTGACTCTCGGTACCAGTGGGATCAAGGGAACTTCACGACATGGAATCTACACCCGGTGATAGCTTTGGATCTTTCTATGCCACTGCTGCCCACCCCCAACACTTGGGGATGTCGAAGATCAAACGAGAAAGCTCATATCAGCGTCGCAAACTAGCCCGTTGGGTGTTTATCCTCTGTGGTTATGTTGCGTATCGCGGCTGAGTCGTATCGTGTCCCATATACTAATGGGCCTTGCTGGGATTCTTGCATTGCTCGGAACAGAGAAGAACACATTTCTTTGCTTGAACAAGATTGGTGTCCAGGACACAGAGAAACGCATTTTCAGCTTATAGTAGGAGCTTGTAACTTTCTAGTCCTATCTGCACCGCTTCTGCGTCTGGCTTCGCGACACTGGAACTCAACATACATTCACAGCTAAGCCCTACAATCCAATTGACATACCCTTGGTCATCAGCTAATTTCAAAGTGCACAGATATCTAGCGATAACCACCACATCCCCGATGTCTCGCGCACCAGCGCTTCTCTTCTCAAGGTACGTTCAGCTTTCCGATCCTCCTCTCCCATCGCGTTTAGACCTGTGCCCGGCATACTCTCCCCATAGTTTGGCGGCACACTACATGAACGCAACATCAAACCCTGGGCTATCCTTCCGTCCTCTGATGGTAATGGACAGTCAGGGTGATCGTGACTTAAGTGTTGTCTTGAACTGCTCTACAGACTTGACAACAAGGCGTCGCGGATACATTACCTCAGAGTGCGAGTGATGGATAAATTGCTGAGACGTACGTTTAGGTCATTTTCTTTGCCATCTTCAACAGCCTCTCTGGCATTCGAGCCATACGATCTCCGGAACATCGCATCGCCTGGTCTCCAGTCTTGCGCCTCGAGACCGAATCCATGAGGTCAGTCACCCACAGCAGCATCTTTCCCTCCCCCCTCCTCAATTGAAGATACAATCGGAGCTCCATATCGTCCCGCGATGACACTCGTACAGACTAGTCGAAGGACAGATTCACTGAGTCTTCTCAGCCTGGCTGTCAGCTCGTGTGATTGCCCGGAAACGCTGTGCCATCGATGGTGCAGTCTGTCGAACAGTAATGACCTCTGTTGTCATGCTCGTGCGTCTTTTCTCTAGTATCAAGCTAGCCATGGCAGCTTCAATAGACATTTGGGCTGAGACTTTGGTTTGTGGTATCATTGTGGTAGTTGGTGGAACCCGTTACTTGACTGCAGGAGTGCCTTGTCTGCCTGCATTCTTATCTACCGCGGTAGTCCGTATACTCTCAACTTCTATATCTATCTTGAATTTCTTTATCTTCCAGACACCTGGAGACAAAAGTAGCATCTATAGCCTCAAATCCCTCTGTAGCCATCTATGAAAAAAGCCTCCAAAAATCACTGCCACAGAATTTGAGTCCCCGTTCACCTCTGCTCCTAGGCATAGCTCTAGATAGCTAAAATTCTGAAATGCTCTGCAGCCCAATTCCTCTCCAGTCGAACGAACCTGCACAAAACCAGCAGTAAGCGCAAGACTAAGCCAAGACAGTCATGCCATCGTGCCCGTGAAGTGCAAATTAAGTGAGCCTGTGTCTACCTAATGCCCCACATTTTCCGCGCGCAGTTTGCACAATTACAAGGTGAAGGTTAAAGTGACTGTAAGGCCGTGCTTTGCCATCGGGGGCACTGGTACTTAAAGACTTCATACCCCGCCTGCTCACTTACTCTTCAACCCCAACGCGCCCACTCCACTCCACAAAGTAAGTGGCCAATTCAAAGCCTCTATTCTGCTTCAATTCAATCAATTCATAGCTAACAAGACTTTTTCTGCAGCTAAACAAACCACGATCGCAACCACCACCGCCACCACCGCCATCATGATGGCCCGCAACCGCTTCTTTCCCCGTCGTTTTCACCCCCGCCGACGACTTATGCCGGACTTTTTGGCCGCCCAGATCCATCGGGCTACATAGGACGTAAGCTAAAATCCATTCATCCTCAAAGTATTCAGTGGCTAATTTCAGCATGAAAAGATCTTGAGCACTATGGCTGCCATCCGCCGACATCGTCAAGCTGGCACCGCGGATACTTTTCCCGGTGAAATGGCTCGCCTGAGGCGCGAGTTCCGCATGTGGCAGGCGTGGCGCGACCACCTCTCCGACCAGTATCGCGCCGCGATCGAGCGGGAGACAAGATAGAGATGGTCGTGCCCGCCTGTCCGTCCGTCCGCCGCCTGTTGCCGCCGACAATGAGGGGGAGGATGATGATGATGATGAGGAAGAAGAAGAAGGGCCTGCGGACATAGATTCTTTTGTGCAATAATGATACCTGCCCTTCCAACATACTATTGCCTTAGTGACCTTGCCATAATTATGCACTGTGATACTTCATGCTATGCCATGTACCCCAGCATCACTGTCTTCTAATCACCCACTTGGAATACCTCACGGCGCCAGCACAGTCACACATAACGTCATCACGAACACCTTGTATACCTCAACACAATACATTGAATCTGATATACACTGAATATTGGACACTGTGTACGTCCCTGCTTACTCTTCCAACCAGTCTGCAGCACCGTCAATGGCCCTGCTGACTATCGACACCCATCTCTTAGCTGCTGCTTCATCGCCCTCCTCGAAGGCTTCGACGATGCCAGGGAAGGTGGCGCCGGCATATCCAGTCCACTTTCCAGGAGCGAAGACGACATGCTTGAACCATGACCTTCCATCCAGGCCCTCAGGGAACAAGAATTTGCGCTCGAGGTACTTGTACTTTGTGTTGATGGCGCGGATGGCGAGGTAAAGTTGGACTCTCTTCCAAGGCTGCCACCAAGGTATGTCGCCAATGTTGGCGAATTGCTCGGTAAGAGAGGCTGCATTGTCTTCGTGTGCGGCGGATGCAGAGATGAAGTGGGATACTGCTACGTCCAGGGGTTGCCAGATGGAAAGGTCTTTGTTTACGGGACTGGTGCGAGCGCTATGCTTGACAGCCTGCACGTAGTTTTGGAGGCCAAGCGCATAGTCTGTAGCGTTGAGCTGCAAAACAGGTGTCTCGATGAGCTTTGCGGCGAGAAGAGCCCAGACCTTGGCTATGGTAGCGTGGTATTCAAAATTCGCATCGCCGTAGTTCTTCATCCAGTCGAAAGAATCATAGTTGCTGTGGTAGTGGTACACCGCGGACTTGGAGTCACCACCGAAGCCCATGTCGATGGATGAGATGCCGGCAAAGTCTTGGAAGGCAGTGAAGTCGCTGCCAGAGCCCATGGTTTCGATTTGCTTGTCCCATGTATCGTACACTGATTGTCCGGGTAAGGTTTGGTTGGGGGACGGGACTATTTTGACTGGAAGATGTTAGTGACTCACTACTTAGGAGAGAACAGTATGCTTACCGGTTTCCTCGACTACCCTACTTAACAACGGTGCGGCCGAGAGCTTGAAAGCCGCCCCGACTGAGCCAACATCGACATTCAAATATGCAACAGTGGATGCAGAAAGCCAAGGTAAGTATTCCTCGACCCACTCGGTGCTTCCAACCAGGCCATACTCTTCGCCGTCCCAGCTCGCGAAAACAATCGTTCTCATGGGCTTCCAACCCGCCTGCATAGCAACACCGAAACTTCGGATAACCTCATTAAGCGCTGCAGAGCCGCTATTGGGATCGCCGGCACCACCAGCAATCCAGGCGTCTCTGTGGTTACCCAAAACAACTACCTCATCCGCGAGGGTACCGTTGATGATTCCTATCACGTTCCATAATGGCGTGGTGACATATTCTTGTTCATTGACCAGGTTCAGGACAAGATCGTCTGGTGACGGTCCGATATTGTAATCCACACCCTTGTAGTCCAAGCCACCACCATGCCAGTGTTTATCGAAAGAAGATGCTTTCGGGCCGTGGCCATTGAGTGCCCGGAGGAGAGGAAGGGCGTCAAGGTAGGATATGGGTAACGAAGGGATGTGGGGCATGGCGTGGTCAACGGGTTGACGAGGGCAGCCGGGTTTCGAAGGATATCCTGGTGTTGTTGGATCACCTGGCGCGAAGCCTGTAGTTTGTTAGCATGAGCATAGATGTATTTATCAATGATATCTTACTCAAGAACTGAACGCTGCCTCGCTGGACACTGCTAGGCTCTCTGGCTGGTCCATCGGGATATGTCGCCATTCCATTCTTCTCGGTGACTTCGCCATCATCACCAGGGTCTGAGTACATTACTACACCAACCATGCCCAGCTCTTGAGCGCGCTTGACCTTTAGACCACGGAATACACCACCATACTTGGCCAATGCTATCTTGCCCTTGAGGGTGACATCGGCAGTCTGGAGTTCTTCAAAGTCCCTGTATGTTCCATAGTTGACGAAGACGTATGGTGCTGTGACATTGCCTGAAGCGCTGTATCCGTGGAAAGTAGGCACGCGGTCTGCAAGTTGGCTGGACTTATCTTCGTCCAGCACGTCTTCTTCCAGTCGCGCTTCGTACTTGATCGCCCATTGAACGCCGTTCTTCTCCTGTCCATCGCTATTTCCAGATGACTGCATCAAAGCTAGTCGATGGCCTTTGGGGTAGTTGATGTACACTTCATAATCGACAATGTCGCTTGCGACGCCCCATTCTTGCCATCGTTCCCTGGTCCACAGCGCCTGGCTGAGATTCTTTCCCGCAAGATGCGGCCCACTGGTGTAGTACTTGCTCCATTCTTCTGCCTTTGCTGCGTTGGGTGTCTCAAGGAGGGTACTCTGTAAAAGGTCGAAATCTAGGGCTGTCTTGCGCGCCCATCCTTCCGGTATCTGTAATGTAGACAAGGACGACGGTAGGGAGAACCGCGATATGGGAGATGCTTGTTCTTGACTTGATGGCGCAAAACTGAAGATGTAGACTGCAGCAAATCCACCGGCAATTATCGTTGCGCTCAAGAGTGTGGTGCAAAAGAACCGCAGGCGATGATGTGGATAACGGTCGCGATGAGGTCTCACGTCGACGCGCTGGATCAGCGGCGTTCTTTCGTCGGCCATGGTTGATGGTTTCTCGTTACTCGCCAGGAGCTGCATATGCGAACTAATAGTAATCTGACAGATGCCTAACCAGAGGCACTTGAACTGACAGACAAGGCCGGATAGCTTGAGCTATGAGGTGCGGGCTCGGTCCGATGTCGTCACAGAAGCCGCGGTATCTTATCAGATTCGCGTCGGTTACGTTAGCGCGTATGCCGTCTGCCGTGTCAGGGGCGGGAAGAACCACAAAAATGATGTGCCAAATCGAACGTCATTCCATCTCGCGTCTTAGTTAGGTGGCTGTTAATTGTCGTCGCATGATCTTTGACCTGTCTTTCGGTATCCAAGTTACTACTCTTTTAACTTACGAGGTAGGGACCCAGTCTGCGCAAAGAATAACCCATCCCTCGCCCCATCCGAACAAGCCAAACCAATGCCTTCGACACCGCGCACATGCTTGGAGTTCTATATCTGCATGATTCTTATCTCATTGACTTCCTTCAGATGATTTTACGCATCTCTAGCTTGCCATATCCCCGTATTTCCTCTCGTTGAGCAATCCATCATGTTCCATCTCTCCACACAATGTATCGCCCCCTTCAAGAAACAACCGTCCTCACTCACTCTCTCCGATTCTTCGTTTATTTCGATTTTGAACCTGAGATTTGCATTACATAGTCATAGCTGTGCCTCAAGCAGTATGGAAGCTGAGAGGGGCAACAAAAAAGTAAAAAGCCTGCCACATTCCACGACCTCATCCCACACAAGGCATCCAGAGCGATCCTATCATGTTCTTTCTAGCCAAGCTGAATGTAGAGTTCCACTCTTCTCCATTTAGAAAGCCTCATGGTCCTTGGTTCTGCGATTACCCCTCTGGAACTTTCGAATAAGTTGACACTCCAATACACAAGATCGTCAGAGTAACACAGTCATAATTTGCCTCTTTTCGCATTGCGCTACTTTTTAAGGGGCTATATCGTGAATTATGCACAGTGGCCATTGGGTTATGTATCCAGTCATTAATGCCGACTATCATATCGGGTTGATGGCCTCTATTAATGCATATAAATCTCTTTGTAAGTCTACCCATTTCTCTACACATCCACAGATACATTTGAGTCCGAAACTCATAGCATATCAAACGACCAACCGACATGTATCATTCCACATTCGAAGCTCCTCTACTCATGGGCGTCACTGGCGACAAATGCATGACTTCTCAATTCATGATCTTTCTGCTTTGTGATCTATCATGCTTGAGAGCGAAGACTTTCATTGTCGCAACTGTTTACTGGAGTCTTACTGTGAGATCAAGAACAATGATGCTGTTCCATGTTCTGTTCTCGAATGCAACCAGAATGTTGGCTTCAGACCACTTGCTCCTCTTGCAAAATGAATCCACCTCGACAATGGCTTCTACTCCCAAGAGCATATTAACGAGATCCGCGAGCAGCACAAGATTATGAACAATTTGGTCGTCTTCATCGGTGTACATGCAGGAGTTACCTCGCAGCACATTTACAGCATGCATGCCGATCAGCTGCTGGATTCCCTCGTCCTTTATGGTTTCTGTGCAGGCATTGCTAAGAGTACTGAACAGTCTCTTCAGGCTAACCTTTCTCTCAACCTTATTGTGTGTGGCTTTTTTCGCGAGATAAAGAATAAGCACAAGATGTTGACCATGCCTGATAAGCTTGAGATACATCTTCACTGCCTCGGTCAGCGCCTTTTCCTAAATGTAAACGTACCCTCACAACGAGCTCTCTCGATTTAGTATCGACATGGCTGACGAGGCCGTAGATCTGGATGCGGTCCTAGAGAACTATAGACCTTTCAATGACATCAAGTGTAATTGGGACTCAATCTTTCCAAAGTGGGTCGAGCTGTTTACTTGGCGACACCTGGAGTGTCTTGCATTGCCTAATAGTGGTGATGCGGAGCTCCAGGCTTGTCCTCTATATTATCCTTTATGGGCCATTATGGGCTCAGCATGATCACAGGGCATGTATTTCAACGTAGGGAACGTTGTGAAAGGTATGACTTGCTGCATCTTGAACTGAAATTTAGTTCCATTGCATTGACAGCACAGGTAAGTATGCTATTGTATTCCACTAATGCTCGTAGTTTTTTTTCCCGACGTATTCTGAACAATGTGTTCTGCGGCTCTTCAACCTGTTTGCTCCGATTCTAGCAAATGTGAGGCGAAGCGTCAATTTTCAAGGCGCGCTAATCCGCACTACATATTGACCTTCCCTCCACCTCGCTCACCTCGACACCAACTACTTACAACACAACACACTAGACGCCCCCAAATTCAGCAAACTACAATACGAATAGAGATGTCTTCCGCTACCGAAAATACGAGCACCACAGTTGCGCCAAGAATTGTTATGTACGGTCGTGCTTTTAATCTTTGGTTTCTCCGCGTCGAGTGCCGAAAGCAAGAAAAGCTCGCCCAGAAGGCTACCAAGGGTTGGTTCCGCCAATGCCACCGCCTCATCTCTCTGAAGGAGTGTACTCGCACTGCCTTCTTCGCTGAGCAATCGCTGGACCTGAACGAGCAATTTCTCAAGGATATCAAGTACAAGCTTCTCCACGAGTGCGTCAAGGAAGTTGTTCGTGTCCAGCGTGCGCTGGAGCGATACAAGAGCAAGATTGAGGCGGCGTTCGACGAAGAGAAGGAGCTTGACGCCATCTGGTGGGCCGAGAAGCGCGACCAGACGGAGGGGAATTGAGTTGCTACTGCTGGCTGCCTTACCGCTCACTTGAGTGACGGTCCGCGAAGCACAGTTCGCGCACAGCAGTGGTAGTAGCCAGTTCCCCTGTGTTTTCTTCAAGATCAAGACCTTTCTTTTCCCGCACTCGCCCGCCTCTTCTTTCACCCTTACCCCACCCCCGAACGAACCGACAAGCCCTTCCCACCGCCAAGGCGCGGATCCTCCGTGCCTGCCTACTACTCAAGACATTCTTCTCCTGGCCATATATTCCCATAATCAACGCAACTCCCGAGCTCAACCACATGCCTCCCCCCCCCCCCAACCTCCAAACATGGAGAATACCACACTGTCACGCGAGCAGCAGAGCGACATCCTCAACCCCCCACAGCAATGTCACGGCTACATTACCAAGTTGCAGAACCTTCCCGAATTTCCTTTTGCCCACCCCGGACCACTCTACGCCATTCGAGGCTGCAACCACTACATGTGCCGTAGTTGCCTCACCGCACAATACACGCAAGCCGGCGACGTACAAACCTCCTGCGTATGCGGCAACCCAGCCGATGTGCTCATCGTCCAAGACATCAACCCCTACCTGTCACCGGCCTACCTATTGTACATCGACCTCCTCGAGATCTTCAACGTCGACTCCGCCCTCTTCGCAGGCAACACCGCTATAAGCATCGACACCGCAGTCGCCTTGGCAGTCTTCGACGCCATCTACACCCCAACCCTCGAAACCGTCGCTCTCTCCCTAGACAACATACCCGCAGAGTACCTAGCCAGCCAAATCCGCATCTGCATCAACAGCTGGGAGCCCCACTTCTTGATCACCCCCCTTCTAGCTATATCTGGACTCCACAACTGTCTCCAGGATACGTTTTGGACACACATGGTACGCGTGCCGGGAGCGCGGTACCACCACCTTGACGGCATGTTTGGGGACAACCAAGCGGCTGAGTTTAGGGGACGGCACCTATTGATCATGGCGATGCTGAAGGCCGATCCTTTGCTTGAGCTTACGTATTGCAAGTGGGAGGAATGCTTGAATCGGTGGGGTGCGGTGCTTGCGAAGTGGTGGTGGGATGGGTTTAGGGTGGAGAATCAGTGGGATGTTGCGGATGTGAGTGGGTGCTGTTAACGATTGATTATATTCGGTATCTATTTGTTTGTTCCGATGTGTAAGACACCGGGTTTTGGGTAGATTGCGTTTGCTGTGTCTTTGCTGCACTGGGTCTTTGATGATACCCCATCGGCAACCATATAGATGGTCTACCCCGTATCTTCCGAATCAAGACTGACTTAACTCTACTTTCTCTGAACTGTGCTCTTGCGTGAAGTAGCTGGAGTCTTGTATGTGCTCTGGCCTACACTTATTTCCGATATCCTGCCATCACATCGCACTAACAAATCAGAAGTTATCTCACCTAGGAAGACACTCGATACTAGTTAGTCGCAGATCGCCCACTCAATAACCTATAGAACATACCAAAAGACATTACATACACCCATAAAAGTTCTCAAACCCTAAGATGATCAAACGAATGTGGTTTGCTATGCTACATCAAAGAATGTTATATATATACACAGAAGAATTCCATCGAGCCGTCTCAAACGACCATGTTCTCATCCCGCATCTCATCACACCTTCCTGCCCAGACATTCTATCTTACACACCAGCCCTCGTAACCCATCCATCAGAGTCTCGATCCTCTAGAACCCACTGAAAGCCCTTGCGTGTCGTCGTCTCTTCTTGCCATCATCAGTTTGTCCAGCAACCTTCTCCAGCCACTTGATGAACTCATCCACAGTGAAGGTCTTGGGCAAGCCACTACCACCCGAGGGAGCTGCACTACCGGTGCCGGAAGAGGAAGACGAACCAGTACCAGAAGAAGCACCATCTTTGCCAGACGCGGCGACAGCAGGCGTAGGAGAAGGAGAGGCAGCCTGACCCTTACCGTTGGTAGGGGTACCAGCATTAGGATTGCCATCGTTGGCCGGCCTGCCATCAGGGAAACTGAAACCGCCTTGGAACGGGTTGTTTGAGTCGGAAGATGAGCCGCTGGCGGGAGCACCGTTGGCGGGAGCACCGTTGGAAGGAGTGTTCTTTCCGGGAGAGAGCCTTTAGAGAGTGAACCGGAGCCTGGGGTGGGTTTGTTGTTGCTGGGAGCACCGTTCGATGGGGGCTTGCCGCCGCTGGAAGGAGCCTTTCCACCGTTTGAGGGAGCATCGCTCGGGCAAGGTTTACCGCCGGGGAAACCGTCGGGGAAAGGAGCGCCGTTGGGAGGAGCACCGCCTGGGAAACCACCGGGGAAAGAAGCGCCGCTGGGGAAAGGAAAGCCGCCGCCGTTGGGAGGTACGCCGCCGGGGAAGCCACTGGGGAAACCAGGAAAGCCGCTGGGAGGTGAGCCACCAAATGGGTTGCCACCGTTACCACCCCAGGGGTTGCCGCCGTTGCCGCTGTAAGAAGGCTCGTCGCCATTGTCACCGCTTGTAGGAGTTCCACCGTTTGTAGGGGTACCGCCATTGCCGTTGGAAGGAGCGCCGTTACCGTTAGAGGGGGTGCCAGCATTGCCCTTAGCGCCGCCTTTGCCGTTGGAGGGTGCGCCAGAGTTGCCCTTGGGAGTTTTGCCATTGTTGGTAGAAGAACCTCCGTTCTGAGAAGCAGGAGTGGGAGTCACGGCGGGCTTCTCGTGAGTGAAAGGGCCGGCGGCCGGCGGGGAAGGACTTGGTTTAGGCGAACCGGAACCGGAGCTGGAGCCAGAGCTGCCGGAGCTACCTGATCCAAACAGAGGAGGACCGGGGATCTTGTAGTTAATGCTCTGAGTGTAAACGTTGAAGAGAATTCCGGGATCGGTGGCAGTGTATAGCTTGGTGCCGACAACGCCCTTTGGCTTCTCAGTTCCGCTGCCAGTGACTTCGATGTTCAGGCCTGAATGTCTGAGTTAGCCTTCCAGGTTCTCTTCTATTATGCCCTTGCATGACTTACATTGTGGGTAGTTCTGCGCACCATTGGCCTGGCCAGCACTATGCAGGGCGATAGCCTCATGGCGGAAGACGTACTTGCCGGGAGCGAGATTCTTGGGCACAGTGACAGGCCAAGAGTTGTTCTGACTGATCATCTTGATTGCAGCCCACTGGCCGCCCTCATAGCCGGCCTCGTCGATCTTTACCCATTCTAGAGTCTCCTTCTTGACTGCGCTGATGTCGCCAGTGTAAGAAGCAACATAGGTAAGGAGAGGACCCACGTGAGACTGGGGCCACTGAGTCCAATCGAAGGTTATAGTGCCACCAGCCTCAACCTTGGCAAGTTTGTCAGAGCTAAGATCCGGACTGGCGTTCTTATGGCAGATGATGTCTGGGCTGCCGTAGTCGCTGGGTCCAACGAAGCCGTTGTCGGTGTCTTCGGCATACCAGCCGATGTGTTCGGGGATCTGACCATTGTTCTTCTTGAGGTAGTAGAAGTCGAGCTTGAAGCCTGTCATGAACTGGTTGTTGATGGTGACGCCCGTTACAGTGCCGTGGGCGGTGGCGGTGGCTGCTAAGGCCGCGATGGCGCCGAGAGAGGAGAGAGTCTTGTACATCTCAAAGTCGTAACTCGGATTGCCGATCAAAAGACTGAAGCTGTTCGATGGAAGCGAATGTGTATCGTTGTTGTTTTTGAAAGAGTGTCTGCCTGCTTCACACAGTGAAGTGACGATAGAATGAAAGTAGGTAGGAAAAGAAAGGACTGGTAAAGAACCAAAGAGCGAACTGTAGCGATGGTGTCCTTCTTCGAGGCTTCAGGAGCCCTATTTATACAGTCAATAGCTGCTGCCCGGTCTCTGGTCATGCCACTAAGCGATTCGTATAAGGAGAGCCTGGAACGGATGGTTCCTGCCGCATGCAGATCCAAGCACACATAGCGGTATGTTTGAATTACCTTATTCTCGGGATTGAAGAGACAAGCGACATTGTCAGGGTACTGGATGTTCCGTATCTGCAGTATCGAAACGCCGCTTCGGGAATACTTCGCAATGTGAAGCGCCCGACTCGTGTCGGCCGTATTCATCATACGCGCAGGTAGTCTCGGTATAGTGCCGATTGGAGGTATTTATGTATGAAGCGACATGGCGAGTGGGGCACAGAGTGAAATATGGCGTTCATAGATATATCTCGAAAGCTCTGAACTCTCGTTTCGCGAATCGAGGCCGTCGAACCCTTCGTTTTCGCTGTTGAGCGACATATCCTGGTATCTGTGGAATGTGTAGGTCGGATTGCGTGGGTACAGCAATGTATAGTTAATGAACTAGAAGGCCGGTATTAATGCGCGTAGTAGTTGGGCAGCATGTCACTGATCATGTTTGGTGTGGGAGAACCATAAAGCGGGATCCACCCAAACTCCAGGTCCGGCCTATTCCACCCTGTGCTCCCTGTCGCACATCAACACCAAACCATGCATCGATCCTTGGGAAAAATTACCGAGCATTTCTCCAGCTCGACAGTTGCCGCCTGTGCGCAACCGTTGTACATCCCCCACATATGCATATTAGTTGCATAGTATCCGTTCCACGTGGTCCGGCTCGTGCATAAGCTTGTTTCAAACTGCATGAAACATCGTACCACCAATACGAGCGCACTGAAGCATCCCCACTGCATGTATATACGACACTGTCTTTGGAGTTGAAGATGTCGGTATTTGCCTAGGTTAGGTATTACTTATGCAGTGCATACGTAGTGTGAGCGCTGTATTCTCCAACTAGAAAAAAAAAGCGTGCTCCTTCCATAAACTAGCACTACACCAAGTCAAAAAAGAAAAAAAAAGATCAGCCTCTCGACGATTTGAACGCCGGTCTCTCACAATTCCACCACATCGTACAACAAGTCTGGTCAGAATGCCTTTCGACATCTTACAGACGTTATACAACTGGGCTGAGTGAGCGTCATAACCACTAGACCAAGAGACCTTTTGCTTATGTTGTTTTGATGAAAGAATAGCTCGGCTACGTAATACATATAGGACATTGAAGTTCTGATTATCTACTTAAAAATAGCGATTTCAGGCCACCAAGAAAAACTCGCCATGGCACACACGTAGTGTGAACGGTCTGTAGGTACTGTATTCCAGCTACCTAATCCAGATGCTGTTTACAGTCGAGATGAAGAGAAGAAGAGGAAAGTGGGCGGCCATCCCACTTTGTTTGGGTTGGCGCACGGCGCACGGGCTGCTGGGGGAAGGAGTGATAGAAGGAAGGAAGCGACTAGGCCAGCGGCCTAGTCATGTGACCTAGGGCTCAGCCCGTTACACGTAGCAACAGTGAAGCTGGCTTCAATTGCACTCATCCCCCTATCTAATTTTTTTCTAGCCCCCCTTCACTTTCTCAAGTGCTAAGCATGAGTGGCGAGAGAGAGAATCAAAGCTATCTTTCCTGACCGAAAACAAAGACATGAAAACAGAATGGCCCCTCAATGGCTTAAACCTCGGTCTCTCCAAGTTGTCCACCCACCCAGTAACAGAAGGGGTGGTAATCGCCGAAGCGTAGGCGTGCACTACCATCCACCCCCGTGAGACTGCTACCGAAGTGGGTATTTGACTGGAGCGTCTTAACCACTGGACCAATGGGCCTATTGTTTTGTTTTGATAAATACAGAGGTTCTCAGTTGATACGTATAGAAGATTATTAGGATAGCGGGCATAACTTGTGAGACTTACTAGACTAGGGCAAAGGTGGGGGTGGGGGTGGTGTGACGTCTATGAGGCATTTTGGGGGCACCGTGTGCGATGGTTTAGGGTGCTTGTGGGGGTTACGCGAGGACTTCGAGTTGCAAGCACGTGCACGTGGCATGATGATCGACCATGTTGTGTCCATGAATGACCCGTTTCCAGCGCATACTGAGTACTCTGAAGTCACTATCTGCAGTTATCCCAGGCAATAGCTATGTCCATGCCAGATTAACTTAGTGCAAATGCAGCTACACACTGCGTTTCTTCACGATGTACCACCATGCCAACAGACAAAAGCCGCGTTCACCGCGCATTCCAAGCTCACGATGCTTGAAACTCGGTATTGTAGAGATTTACGCGAAGGTGTCTCACAGCAAACGCGCCTCCACTCCCACTTTGTACATGCGCGCCTCAAATTACTTGGGGACACTGCCATCACCGCATACAGGCTACTGCTTGGAGCAGACACATGGATTTGCCCTCTACATAACTCACTATAACGCTGAATCTGAAGAAGACGCTTTAACGTTGCCAAAGATAGGGTACTGGTATCCTGTGCCCTATCCTGCCTTATGCCACGATTTGAGTGCTCTACAAGGTTTTTGCTGTCTTTGTGTGCGTCAAACACGCCATTGCATTGCCATGAATCAATGCCAATCATCTTAGTAGTAGACAAAGGTAGTAAAAAAAGCATAGAAGAGAGATAGAGAAATATATCACTATGAGAGAGAGTATAGAAGATTTAACCTTTACTTTCACTCACCCTGCAAAAATATCTAAGCAAGACTGCCAAAAAAACATGGGTTAAAAAAAGAAAAGAAATTGGCCTCTCAAGGATTTGAACCTCAGTCTGCATGACAGCCAGCCTCGAATGAATCCTTCTCAAGGCCCGCACATCTCAACTCGTAGATGAGGAGGCCTTAACGAGGACACATTCGAGGCGGATTATCGGTGCCGTCCTGACCACTGGACCAAGAAGCCTTCGAATTATTATTGGTGTTGATGGAAGACTTCTCCGCACTAACAATATAACTAGTTAAACAGCAAACAGCGTGACAAGAAGGGGCGCAGTAACGAAAATCACAAGTGACGGAGTTTGAAATTACCGCCAGGCAGAAAGAACTTGTGTCTTGACCCTGAGCTCTACGCAAACGCCCAATACACAGCATCTTTGCTTTCCCAGTCCCAGCCTGTCCAAGTAAATACCTCAATAGCAGAAACCAAAAGTAGCGCGCTTGGTATCACTCATCTATCTAATTACTCCAGCCATGCCTGCAGACCCCCGACCAACAACACTGCAATACCGAGCACCCATTGCGCGACACCGAATGCGCCCTGTACATCTCCCTTCTTCAGCGTCCACAGAATCGCAAACGCCATGCTACCGAGCCCAAATATCGCCATCGTAACTGCCCACACGCGCTGCGCAAGAAATCCTTCCACAAGATGGACACCCCAACCCATTCCAAACTCGAGTCGCTCGCGACGCTTCGGACTACGCAAATACGTTATCATCTCGCCGTCATAATCGTTCGGGTGCTTGAAGAGGTGGACTAGATATGTGCTACCCACTGGCGGGAGCAGGTCATTGGGCTCAAAAGAATATGGATGCAGAGACAGTCCTGCGGATTTCTCGGGGTCAGCTGTTGATGCTGACGAGGTTGCAGACCTAGGGGGCATGGACGGCGCGGCACGGATATCAGCGAAGCGGTTGCGGTGGATTTCGAATTGAACGAATTCAATGGTTGTCAGACCGCGGAGACGAGCCCAGTTGAACCATCGGTGGTTCAGCTGGTTGTAGTGCTCTCGTAACACCATTGCTAGGTCCTTGTCGCTTCTGATTCTGCCTTGATTGACATCGAGGTGGACGATCTTGGGTGTAAGACGCCCTTCGTTTGCGCATGTCAATAACCAGGATTCCGTATCGAATGGGCGCATAGAGAAACTGAACGGGTTATTGGCACGTGTGCGAGAAGGGCTGTATTTGGATGGATCACTGCCTCTAGCCCACGAGGCTGAACTGCCGTGTGCTGATACTGGTGTTGCTAATGTCGAAGCTCTACTGGAGGCCTCGAAGATAGACGCCATTGATGACGCTGAGCTCCCTTGGCTATTTGGATCCCTAGGAGTATGAGCCCTTGGGCGGTTAAGGAAGGCTTCCAGAAGTCGGGCGGCATTGGGTCGTTGCTCGATGAAATCATCATACAGCGACTCACCACAAGACTGCAGTTGGTCAGCAAGGTATAGGAGAGTGATTCAGAGGTGCACTTACGCAAGTCCACCGGACACGAACGTGCCCTCGCGGTACAGGAGGCTCTGTGCCGAACGCGTCCCGAAGCAGCTTGAAGCCTTCGTACGCCTTGTCAGACAATGCGCTCAAAGCAAGGCCCCAGTACAACAACGTCGGACTACGAACGTTGGTCGGAGCGGAGCGTATCTCAACCTCAGATGGTAATGGTATTTCACCAATATGTTCGTCCTCTACCGGCTCAATAATCTCTGGTAGGGTTTGCCTCGGGGTTACTCCTTCTGCATGATCATCTTCGAGTTTTGGAATAGTTGAACCCAAGACCTCCTTCAAAGCTTCGCGGAGTTTATCTGAATGATTCACTTCTGTCCACTCGGGTGAACAGCTAACTCTCACATGTTCTGGTTCGACTGGCGATGCGGAAGACGAGATCGATTTACGTATCCTGGGAGATTTCCTCCGTCGAGTCATGGGCGATACTTGCGCAGATTTAGCTTGGGGGATATTGGTTTGCAAACGAAGTTTTCCTTTCGAAACCGCTGGCACTTGTAGGTCATCTGCAGATACGTGACGCAGATGCCGGGTGTTCACCACACCAGTGTTACGGACGGAGTGTTGCCAGGTACTATATTCGTCTGCCTTCAAGTTGTCATCGTAGTCGGTGGACTTGGTAGGAGTCAACCGGCGCTCTCGCAACACGGAAGTTTCTGCAAAGATCGTTGGGGAAGGGCGACGCTTGATAGACTTATGGGCATCTGATCTTCTAAGGTCCAGGCTCGTTACCCGACCCTTCATACCATAGCGTGGCCTTTTCTCCACCCTCTTATGCACTGCGCGGATGGACAAGCCGCGTGTAGGTGTTTTCATGATGCTAGAAACCGAGCCTGATCTTGTAGGAACAACTGATGTACTTCCGAAGAAACGCTCGAAATCGGTTTGTTCATTATGGATACGAACTTCTGGTATCAACGTCTCCGCATCGCTTAGACTATCCTCCGCGATAGAGTATCTGGCCAAACTGTTCCTTGTCAGGACCCTTGGAGATGGCACAACAGGAGGAGCCTGTATGGGCGTTGGAGACTGTTGTGGTCTTTGCATGCCATCTTCGTTCGAAGTACCAATCTCGAATACATCAGTTCGTGTTAGTTGGCTGTCGCTATTTGATTCTGTTCCCGGGGCAGAGTGATGCTCTATGTCGATGTCTGACGGAAGAGCAGAAGGAGCATATAACTCGGCTGGCTTACATGTGTCACCCAACTCATGGGGTTCAAGCGCCAATTCATCCAGGGCCTGTTCGGGTAAATCCTGTTTGGTCAAGGCATGTTGACCCAGGTCTACCTCAGCAATTTGGTCGGTGTCTGCGGCAGAACGCTTCAATAACCGTACTACATAACCCTTTCCCGTTTTCTTGATCTTAGCTCCGATATTGGAAAGGCGTTTTGATTGTGTTGATGCTGCTGAATCGCTCCGCGAGAACGACACGTTCCAGTCCGGTACGACTTTCTTGAGGAATTCGGGAGGCACGTGATCCAAATCAGCCCAGCCTTGTTGATCTTTCACTGGTGTAGTAGGTGGGCTCGACTTTTGAGTTTGATAGAGTACTGGCCGCTCCGTGTTGGGTTTCGGGTCATCTCGATCAACCCCTAGGACGCCATGAGTTACTGTTTCGCCTAGGGGTATTCCGTGGGGCGCTTGCGGCTTGGACCCGATGTTGAAGACTAGCTGAAATTGGCCAGGATTTCTTGCATCTTCCTGAAGATTCAGTGTGAAAGGCACTGATTGGGTCTTCTCATATTGTGGAAGAGGCGTGTCGCGCCCCGTATTGGGTGTCTTTAAATCGTTGTTCAACTGCTGATTCAAGTTCGAGCGAATCGGAAATGGGGATGCTATGTTGGAAGTCTATCACACGGTCAGCCACATCATCCACGCTACTTGAACGCACATCAATCGATTCCTTCTGAGCCTGAGGAAGACATAATGGCTTACCATTTTCGCATAGTATAGGCGTCACAGGCATAGCTGAGATGTGGATAAGAGGCAGGCATGATTGAGTTTTTGACCGAGTTCCTGACCGTTCCAGGCTGCAGTCAGCTGTCTATCGACAAGATCAAAGATGGCTGCTGCGGTAGTTCATGCACTGCCACTCCTGCAGGCTAATCAATGAGGCCGCCGACTATATCGCTGATTGGCAAACTTCAGCCTTGGGCAAATCTCCCATGTGAGGCACAGGCTGCCTCGTTCATTCTGGTCCTCTTAAACCTGCTCTGCCCCCCTAGAGTGCTTTCATGCGTTCAACGAGATGCGCAGCCTCTGTGTGCAACCATACTTTTGGCCCCCTGATGACCTACTCTTAACTACGGCAAACAAGCCTCAACGCGCACACAAAGGAAGAGGATGACAAACTGATTCTCTCAATAAGAACGCCGCGACACTGGACAATAGATGCGCAATGGGTCTCTAGAGGTTGGAGACGAGTCGCGTATCGGGTGGGTGTTGGGGTAGCGAGCGGTCATGTTTCACCGCTCGTGCCTTCCCTCGCAAATGCCGTGCGTCATGCACCAAGCCACCTCTCATCTTTCCCATGCCCTAACCCCCAACCCCATCCACCACAACTGCACCATAACAATGCACCTTCCCCATCATGCATACCTACAAGGACTTGGCCCCTGGAATGCCGAGATTTGTAGCGTCATGTGTTCTCAGGAACCCGCCCTCCAATCTGTTCCGAGCTTGTTCTCCGCGGCTCGGCAATAAACTTCGTCAAGCAGGCTAGGGGTAGTAGCACCGATACCTCGGTGTAGAAACCACCGTTTCCCCCGCATGACGCGCAGATCTTTACCCCCACAGTTTCTCCGGACACGGCCACGAGATTCCCCGCCATTCGGATAGGATGTTTGAGCGGAGAGCAAGGATACTGACTACAGAATGTGGGCCAGGGTGACACGACGTGAACGGACTGTCTCCGAGAAAGACCTGGCTTCGAATAGCAATGGCGAACTATACCTAGGGTGGATGGCATGATGGTGGCATCCGGCAAAAGGTACATGGTAGAATAGTAAGATGAGGTACAGTATTTGGGTTGGCATTTGCTTATATACGACCCTGCCCGTCAAGCTTGATCGTCATCATCTTGCTCTTTTCTCAATCCAACAAGATGCGTCTCTCTACCTTGTTCCTGTCATTGATCAGCGTGGTCTCCACCACGGTGTCGGCACATCCTAAACGCCAGACACAACAGCCGACTTTCTCCCGCAATGTCATCTTCTCGCCGCCACGCAATGCCGGTTGGACCGACCCTGGTGTTCTCTACGCCCGCAGTGCACAACTTAGTGACGGCTCCATTCTTGCAACATGGGAGAACTACTCACCTGAGCCACCCATTGTCTACTTCCCCATCTACAAGTCTAGCGACGGTGGGTTGACATGGAAGGAGATCTCGCGCGTGCAGGATACGCAAAACGGCTTTGGTCTGCGTTACCAACCCACCCTCTACGTTCTGCCACAGGCTATCGGTGGCTACCCAGCTGGTACCGTTCTGATCTCCGGGTCCTCGATCCCCACCGACCTCTCCAGCACGGAGATTGAACTGTACGCCTCAAAAGACGATGGCGTTACCTGGGAATTTGTATCGCACATCGCAAAGGGCGGTAGGGCTGTTCCTAACAACGGCCTCACCCCGGTGTGGGAGCCATTCTTGATGATGTACCAAAACACGCTCATCTGCTACTACTCCGACCAACGCGAAAATGCGACTTACGGTCAGAAGATGGTACACCAGTCTACTACGGATCTGAAGACTTGGGGCGCCGTCGTCAACGACGTGACTTACCCTACCTACACCGACCGTCCTGGTATGCCCACTGTCGCTGAGCTGCCAAACGGGCAATACATCATGACCTACGAGTACGGTGGTGGCCCTGCCATTCCCAACTCCTACCAATTCCCCGTATACTACAAGATTGTTTCCGACCCCACCAAGTTCGGCGAAGCTACCGGTATCAGTCTCAAGGCTACTGATGGCACGATTCCCAGTGGTTCTCCTCATGTGGCTTGGAGCAGCTTTGGAGGAGTCAATGGCACCATCATCGCCAGCGCACACAGCAACTCGGAGGTTTTCATCAACAGAGGTCTTGGACAGGGTCCCTGGATCAAGGTTGCCACACCTGAAGCGACCTCATACACCAGGCATCTCCGTGTCCTTAGCGACCCAACCAAGTTGTTGATCATGGGTGGTGGAAACCTGCCGCCTGCCAACGCCAACAGTGTCACGGTCACTGTTGTTGATATCAGCTCGTGGTAGACGAAGGTAGTGGATGTTTGATGCAGTATATGGCACGCATAGAATCAATATTATGAATTAACTGAGCTTCTGATCCCTTAAAATCTTGACAAAATTCGTGATTTCAGCTCTATTGATGGACTTGCGCGTAGATTTCAAGATAAACAGTGCTGCTAACCGGTACTGACCGGATAGTCGCTCGACGCGTGGTCGTGACTCCAACATTATTCGTGTCAGAATCACCGGTTCCATGACACCGCGACAAGCTCGCACACGAGCTTATGACGCTTAGACTCTCCAGTTCAGCCTCCAAGTTCGGCGTTGCTGCATCCGAAGTGCAGATGGTGATGGTGGGCCCGACTTCAGATGTCACTAGCGCCCCACTAGCACCGGGCCGACCAATCTTCCTTAGCGAGACACCACCGAGGGCGCAAATTCCGTGTCATAGGCTCGCACCTTCTGATTTCGAATATCGCAGCAACGACAAGCCCTTCCGACCGCCCTCACCCATAACCGTCCTCCCGACCAGAAAACTCGAAAATACCGACAAAATGGGTGGTGTTACCGTCAAGGACATTGAGTCTCACAAGTTCGTACAAGCCTATGCGGCGTGTAAGTTTCCAAACCCGAGTGCACAGTTCTAGCGACTGACTAGATGAACAGTTCTGAAGCGCCAAGGAAAATTGCCCATGTAAGTTTTGACGTTTGCAACACAATTGCGATTCTTTTGCTGACAACATAAAAAGTCCAGGTTCGTGTCTATCTAGCGGGTGAAGGACGTTAGAAGCCTGAATCCCGTAAATGGGGGATAACCTCAGTTCGCTGACCACTTATCTACAGGCTGGGTTGACACTGTCAAGACGAGCCGTATGTTATCAATTCCCCCTTCCTGGTTGTTGTTTGTGGGCTGACAATTGAAATAGACTCCAACGAGCTCCCTCCCCAGGACATTGACTGGTTCTACGTCCGCGCCGCTGCCGTCGCCCGTCACGTCTATATGGTACGCTCACTTTACCGCTGAAAGAGATGCAATATAGGGAAGATGGACTGACAAATGCAAACAGCGCAAGACCGTCGGTATCGGCCGTCTCCGCAAGGTCCACGGCTCCACCAAGAACCGCGGCTCCCGCCCCTCTCACCACGTCGACGCTTCCGGTTCCGTCGACCGCAAGGTCATGCAGGCGCTTGAGAAGATCGGTGTCGTTGAGCACGACGAGGACAAGGGTGGCCGCCGCATCACACAATCCGGCCAGCGTGACTTGGACCGTATTGCGCAAACCACCCTCGAGGCTGAGGAGGAGGAGGATGACGAGTAGACGCGTTCACGACTTAGACGATGTCGCGGACAAAATAAGCTTTTTGTTCCCCTCTTGTACTTGAGTGGGGGGACGGGCTTTTCTTTCGCATCTGAAACACGGTTTTACGGCTTATGGGCGTTGAAGATGGAAACTGTGCTGGGCCGGACGGTAGCCTAGGACATTGCAATGACACTGGGCTTGGGCCTAAAAAGCAACATGATACCCCTCCATCGCTTGTGTTTGGTGCGACATGTGGTTGTGATGTGATGTGATTTGACGGTTCTAATTTTGAAGTAAGGATTTGCTCTTATGATTGTGGTCTCTCACGCCTGGACAATATGCGTTAGGTTTGACTTTCCAAAGACTAGTCGTGAGTAGTATTGAAGTGTGGCACTCGTTGAGGTATCTAAACAGTTTCCTGCAAACCACGATTGAGGAAGAAGCTATCATGCATTTTACCAAAACCATCTTTGATATGACGAATTCATTACTCTTTCTCTCCATCCCTCAGTATTTATCTGTCCCCATTTCCCTGCCTATCCCTTCACACACACTCATGCCCCCCATTAGAAAAGATCCGTCATAGCCCCATGACTCGCATCTCCGACCAGCCTAGCATACTTCGCCAACACACCCCTCGTCACCGGCATGCTCGGTGGGTTCCACCCTTGCAATCTCTTTTCAATCTCCCCTTGATCAACATGCATATCAATCCTATTCTTCTCCGCGTCAATGGTTATCAAATCGCCGTTTTGCACCACAGCAATGGGTCCTCCCACCGCGGCCTCTGGCGTGATGTGTCCGACGATGAAGCCATGACTGGCACCGGAATAACGTCCATCGGTGATGAGGGCTACATTTGTGAGTCTGGCGCCCATGATTGCAGCGCTGGCTTTGAGTTGTTCAGGCATACCCGGACCGCCTTTAGGGCCCTCGTAGCGCACGACTACGACGACGTTTTCGCCATGGGGGATCTGTCCTAGGTTTAGCGCGCGGTCGAGTTGGTATTCCTTGTTGAAGACGAGGGCTTTGCCAGTGAATTTCAAGCCTTCTTTTCCGGTGATCTTGGCGACGGCACCGGAGGGCGCAAGGTTGCCGTGTAGGATCTCGATGTGGCCGGTGGGTTTGATAGGGTTGGAAAGTGGGCGAATTATGACTTGGTCCTGGGGGAGAGACGGGTAGGATGCGATGTTCTCGGCGAGTGTTTTCCCTGTTACCGTGGGGATGCTGCCATCGAGGAGGCTGGCGGCTACGAGTAGTTTCATTACTGAGGGCATGCCGCCGATGTCGAAGAGGTCGGCCGCGAGATATTTACCGGATGGAGCAAGGTCGGCGAGGAAGGGAATCTTGTCGCTTACGCGTTGGAAGTCGGAGAGGGTAAGGGGTACGCCTGCAGTGCCGGCCATGGCGAGGAGGTGCAGGACGGCGTTTGTGGAGCCGCCTAGGGCCATCATGATTACGAGGGCATTTTCAAACGAGGCTTTGGTGAGGAGTTTGCGTGGTGTGATGTTTTTTTCCATACAGACGCGGATGGCGGCTGCTGCTTTGGCGCATTCTCGCATTTTAGCTGGGGATGTTGCGGGAGTGGTCGATGAACCGGGGAGGGTAAGGCCCATTGCTGTTTAAATTAGTAGGTGTATCGTGGTATCGTACCCGACCAGTGAACGAGCATCATACCTTCAATCGAAGTAGACATGGTGTTTGCTGTATACATGCCACCACAAGCTCCAGCCCCAGGACAAGCATTCTTCTCAATATCCTCCATGATCTCATCCGGTGAGAACTCTCCTTCAGTTGCACTCTTCAGGTTCTTGTAGATGTATGCGCCGTGGCTCTCATAGCAAGTCGATACATTGATGTTCTTCCTCAGTGTCTGCGAATATCCCGGCATGATAGAGCCACCATAGACCATTATAGATGGACGATTATGCCGAGCGAATGCCATGATGACACCAGGCATGTTCTTGTCACATCCCGGTATGGCTACGCAGGCGTCGTGATGTTGGGCGCATGTTACAGTTTCGATACTGTCAGCTATTATCTCGCGGGTCTGGAGAGAAAAGCGCATTCCTGGATAGACGTGGTCAGCTGATTGCCTCTGGGAAGTTCATCAGAAAAAGGAGTTACCTTCTCCACCCATGGTAATTCCATCGCTCACGCCAATGGTATTGTACTGCCATGCCAGCATGTTGTCATTTTGAACGTGCTTCTTGATCTCCTTGCCCAAATCAAGCACTATGCAGGTGTCAGTACATTAGTCATATGAACATCTCAAGAACATCGCGAGTAATGTTGTTCATGCGCCATGTAAGTCGTTTTGACAGGGTGTAGGCATCGTCATGTGACTGGTAGACGTCGACTTACAGTGCATACTGCAACGGTATCAGTACGATGACGAAGTCTGCGTGGGGGCATACTAACTTGCAAGGATTACCCTCCCACCAGACGCTAATTTTTTCAAAGCATCAGTGTCGGAACATGTAACCTACTATGGATCAAAATCACCTGGCTATGCCCACGTGGGGATATGTCTTCATTGCTTCTCGCGAAGGTACACCGGCACCGTATAACATGGCCTAACAGATTGCACTCTTATTAGCTACTAACGTAGCTTGAAATGAGATGCTTGGAATAGCAAACCTGGGCTCCTGGAAAGTTATGACCGGCGGTCAGTGTAGATGAGTATTTGTTCAACGCTGGTCTGGCATCTTCGAGCTTCGCGTCATCGGGTAGGTGGGGGAAGGTGAGGAAACGCGGTTCTTCCGGCTCCCGTTGTTTTTGGAGGTTGTGTGGATCCATGGTAGACAGGTGCTGGCGGTTAGGTAGGGAGGGTCAATTAGAGTAGTCAATGGGTTCGGTGCAGGATGGACTTAAGTGAGGGTACACAACGAGGAAGTGAGTCAAAGATTGTCAAAAGATGAGGTAGTAAACCGGGGATTAGATATGGACAGCTATCGTTTACCGTGTGTACCCAGGTACTCCCGCACCAAGAAGGCGTGCATATGCAGTCTAGTCTAGCGGTCTATGAGCATTGCATTTAGAATCTCCGAAGACGCCATGATGAGCGGTGGAGGGGTGCCATGGGACAGGCGCAGCTCCCGCGGTGCTAGGTCTACCTAGATTAGAGCTGATAAACGCTCCTGAGTGACCAATACAAACACGAGCCGAGTCATGACGACTAGGGGCGCGAGGAGTAGGTAGCGCGACCCGACGATGTTGTCGGGTGAGTGTTGGCATGGCGTAGGCTTTTGGTTCGCGGCCACAGTCCGATGTGCGCCGGCTAGGTACTGCTAAAACCGGGGCCTGGGCTTGACATGTGGACCGATTACGGCGCCTCCAACGGCGAATTCTAGCACGTCTTCTGGAAGCGATGGCCTTGCCGGTAGTTATTAGACGAATGTTTGGGATGACAGTTGCCGGGTCGCTGGGCTTTCCTGTACCGAGATGGTGAAAGTGCGGCTCCGAGGCTCCAGCTCTTGACATTGCACGTGAATTCGAGCGGGCATCCTTTGAGTGCGCAAGTGGCCTCAACAATCAACCCCGCTGTCGATCATCGTGTCCTACGATCTTATCGCACGTAGCAGAGGCTTCCATCTGTATCAAAGGAAAGTAGCAAAAGGCGGATTGAGTCAGGGGAGTCGCACACGGCACATGTGACAAGACCCCGGATACGCGGACAGCGCTAATAGCCGAAGAAGAAAGCCGATAATTAAAGAGAAGGACAAGGTCAAACTGAAAAACAGTCAGGGGAAGCTGTTGGAGGCGAGCTTATGGCGAGGGCATCCTGCCAAGTTTCACGATGAAGAGCCTTGCGGCTCGCCGGAGCCCAACGAACGTCATTACCCGAGCAAACCGAATCTTCATGGTAAAACTACACAAACTCGACATGGCAATTTCCAGATCATCACCGCACCTTCTAGCATACAACACATCCCTTGTCCTCGATTGCCCGTGCCATCTTTCGCGTTATCGCCTGTCCTTTTTTTGTGCATTCCCGCGTCTCTCACCCACCACTCGTCTCTCTCAAAGTTATTGCTTTGAACATGGTCGCATCAGCCATTGCACAAGTCTTCGCCTTGCAGATTAGGCCGTAGCAGCACATTCGCTGTTGATCCAAACGTGCGCGCATCCCCCCGTAATAGACGTTTCCAGGCACCGGCTCTTTCCCGCCAGCAATCCGGGCACGAGAGATTTAATCTGCATCGATTGGCTGCGCCCCGTGCGACCGTCTTATCCCACACGCCAGCAACCCCGACGCCCCGTTGAATATACATTCAGCGCTGCAGCACGCAAAGGACGATGGAGCCTCATTCGCGTTCCTGCTCCACTTCCCATAATGGCACGTTGCGTCTTCCACAGGCTCTGCTGCTACTGCTAAGGTCCACCCTCGCAGGCTCCACCAGCGATCGAGTGACACAAACCGATTCCGATCTGGCAAGCTGGTACTTGCGGGATATAAAATCCACGACATATCATCTGATTCAACTCTTCAACCCCTTTGTCTTTAGTCAAGGCCGGTGGACATTGAGCTTTGTGGGCATGATCAAGTTGACTGCACTCTGTGGAATTGCATCTGTGCTCTGGATATGGAACAAGCCATCTGGGAAAGGAAAGGCTGTCGACCCTCAACATACATCTGATACGGCGGCTGGTGAGTTGATTTCAAAAGAGTTAGCGAAAGACAGCCGGTCACGTGGCCCAGCTAGTGATACCTCTGCCTAGCCTTGTCCTGCTAACGCTCCCCAGATGATGCCGCCACTACAGATCCGGGACTATTGAAGAAGTACTCCTCCTTCCGGTCATATACCGTCCCATTAACTGGTTTCACCTACCCCAGACTTCGCACGTTCTTTAGGCCACACCACCAGCAAGATAAGCTTCCCAAAGTTCCAAGCCCAATTCCACTTCTAGTCTTTATACATGGTCTGGGAGGATCCATCGCTCAGTTCAGCCCCATTCTCATCAGTCTTTCCAACCTCGCACCATGTTTGGCTATTGATTTACCCGGGTGTGGCGTGTCGAGTTTTGAGCCAAAGGCATGGGAAGCCTATACTACAGAAGCTCTGGTGCAGCTCTTAGCTGTTGTTATCGAAGCACATCGTGCAGCCGATGAAGGACAGACAGTCGTCTTGGTTGGTCACAGCATGGGCTGCTCACTGGCCGCACTTCTTGCTTCCCCATCATCCCCACAGGCGCATCTCTTGTCAAAGCACGTCAGCGGGTTGATTGCCATCTGTCCCAAAGCCGAGCCTCCTTCGATGGAGGAAGCGAAAACACTACGCTCTGTTTCATCAGCACCTGCTGCGCTATTCGACCTTTTGCGGCGCTGGGATCGACGAGGCGGTATCAATAGCAAGAGTGTCCTACGCATGGCAGGCGCGGATGCTGATGATGAGACCAAGAAGATGCAACTTCGGTTCAATCAACAGAGCCGAAGTGCAGTATGGTTGAGGATGGCACGAGGCATGTGTCCCGACTATTCCAGCGGCTCACCCAAGGGGGGGCTACCCAGAAAAGACGTATGGAGCTGCCTGGACATCCCCGTGTTCTTGGCTGCCGGTGAGACCGACTCGGTCACGCCTCCCTCCAACGTCAAACAGATCGTCGAATTTCTCGGACGAGACGTATCCGCCATTCAGCCACCCAGCGAGAAAGCCAGTCTCCCTATCGCTGCAGCGCCCTTCGTCCCCTCTACTATCATGCCAGAACAACAGCCAGAGGAGCACCAAGACTCCAGTATAGACACTGAAGATCTACCGAAATCCGATGATGACACCAAAACCACCACTTCAACCTCCGTATTCTCTGTCGACTCAAGCACCGCATCAACAGACGCAGCAACCTCATCAGAGGGCAGCATAACCACCGCCGACGGCCCGCTCAGCTCCCCCACCGCCTCCACATCCTCCTCCTCCACAATCCTCCATCTTCATCCCCGCCGGCTCGTCGTAAAAACGGTCATCACGCCCAAACCCGCCTCCCATGCCCTCCTCTTC